GTATTTACAGTTCTTTTAAATTCAATAAGCGAGTTCGTAATTAGGATTTGCGCATGGGCAGATAAACGTCATTCGTACCCAAATTGTAAAACCATTGAGACGAATACTCGGATCGTGCTCATGAAAGTTATGTAATCAGTGTTGATTTATGCACCAACAGCACATTTATCTGATACACAGGTCAAAGTATTCTTCTCAAGAGGCAAACAAAGTATTCACAAAGCACCTCCATCCCTTTGGCAGTGATTATTCTAAAACGTACATGTGGGACGTATCCATCGTGTAAAAGATCTGTGGATATCTTGGGGTCATGCGTTCCAGAGCTATTTACGAACTCGGTTATTGAACTGAATTGTATGGTTAATTAAAATACTGAGCCTGACAGCCTGAAGGCTGAATTACATTCAGTTTACAAGATATAAACAACTTTACTTTCACATCGATGTTGTGAAAGCTATCACACAACGTGAAGACATTTCAAAACTAAACCATGCAGCAATCAAAGTTATTGAGGATTCTTAAAACAGGATCAAATATGTTCGCATCTATTGCATTTCATATAGAGCAAGAAAGAGAGAATGGAAGGAGAGTGGGATAAAAGAGGGAATTGAGGAGGAAAGTGCTAATAACTAGGGTGTCTTTCTTGATGGGACTACGGGTTTGCTGTGCGCAGACGTGTACAGACATTAATGGTATTTCCACCAAGTCTGGTGTCAGCGAATTATGGCCTTCTGCACATGGAAACTGAGAAGCCAAGCATTTAACGATAAAGGTGAGTTCTGGTTTAAAAAAAAAAAAAATTCTCACAGAATCAAACGAAAATTACACTGAATGTTCAAGATTACAAATAAATGTCATTTGCCAAACAATTTTGGCAGAAAATGTATCCTGGCTGAGAAATGAGCATAGAAAGATTAGGAAATCAAGGTGGTAGCCCCGACACCATTTGTGTAGTCCCATATACATCTTTCTGTGTACAGTGCTTGTTACTTTACCAAGACTGGGCCAAATGTATTATGATTTTGATGACTCCAGAACCTTGCAGTACACACCAATACTTACATGCTACATGATCAACTTTTTCTGATCCATTCCACACCTTTTCTTTCACAATGCAATTGATGACCAGAACTCACCTTTATCTTTAATTCATCAAGAATAAATGCTTAAGAAACATAACAGAAAAGAAAAGAAATAAGAAACTTACTCCACGGCATTGCCATTAAGAGTCCACATCACATCACTTTCAGTTGCAGTAGCAGGGTAGGCTGGCTGATGCAAGCAAGGATCGCTTCGGAATTCTCCTGCCCCGGATGTTCTTGAGCGTTGCTGTCACCTCAGGCATGTCTGAAATGGCAACACCAATATAACATGTCAACCGCGTTCTCTGCCTCTCTGCACAGTCACTTGTCTGCCTCACGTGCAATGTTGCACAAAACAATTGATGGAAGCATTGCTTTGTGCAACACAATGGCTTTGCAAATTTACACATTTCCGGTCTTGATAAGCTCAATGACAGCCCTTTTAACACCGGTATACATTCATCTTGAACAGGAAACAGCTCAATGATCGCAAAGTCCTGACTAAAAACACATGACACAATGCCGGGAGCCATCAGGCTTGAAGGGTCCTTATCTTAGCTAAAGGGGAGTTTATAGCCATAATCTAGCTTTTTTGGAAGTAATGATCTACACTATTGCTCACAGCAAATCAGAGAGAATACCAAGTATATATATATATTTTGATACCAAGTGAGCCACATTGCATTTCTTTCCAAATTTCTTTTTAGCTGTACAGTACATGAGTTTTAAATAAATAATACCTCTGTAAGCCGCATATTGACATGCAAAACAAAATGATCATCAATAGTGATCTGTCTGTTTATGACAGGTTCAGTGACCCAATCAGAATTCTACATCAAGTGTCTCTCCAAGTACCTCAGTCTTGAGCCACTCGTTTCCTCATTTCATACCCTGTAGCTCCACATTCTGTGATTAAATCATCTAGAAAGCCTTTACGAGGTCTTCCCTCTTCTTCTTTCCATGTATAATTAAACCTCATTCTTTATAAACTTACATGGGAGTTGGACATAGGTCTTTCTCGTCTGGATCTCGCCATGGCCGTTGGTCACGGAGCAAATGTACTCTCCTCGGTGGTCCATTGTGATTGGGTTGAGTCTGATGGTGTTGTTGGAGATCTGCCTGATGAAGCCCTTCCTGGCGCCGTCCATCAGGATGTAGGGCACCGGGTAGGTCCTGGACCAGGTGACACTGGGGAGGGGACTACCGGTGGCCACGCACTCCAGACGGACGTCGCTGTTGAGCGGGGGGTTGTTCAGGTCGGACGTGACGAAGCTGACGAATGGAGGTCCTAGAGACGGACGATTGTCAAAAGAAACAATTCATTTTCATCTTGGAGATGTGTGCTCCCATATATGTACACATGATATTAAAAAGACTAGCAGTTATTCACCTTCAAACGGGACTGCACTAGCTCTACTTGCGCCCTCTATATAGTAAACAATGCCTAAGCGGTACCCTGTGGTCCCCAATGAACCCCCTTTTCTTATGTGAATTGAGAGCTACAGTAATTTGATGAGATGACAACCTGTCAGCAACCATGCAAGGAGGTCTAATCCCTCCTGGCAAAACTAGTGCAGATGGGCTTAACTGCCCTATCTGATATTCAATTAATTGATAGTGGTGATTCTGCTGACTTGTTCACATAAACACATGACAGGACTGATGGTTGAGTGGTACAGTACTTGAAAAAGCCAATTGTCAAAGAAACAATTCACTCCGTGTTGGTATAAGCACTTCTGTACAATACAGTAGCTCCCAAGCTACATTTGAACTGTCTTTCCTACACTCAGGATATTTAAGGCTATGAGCAAGATGATGTCAAAAGAACAACTTCTTCTTGATTACATGGGCTTCCATACCGCACATACATGTACATGTATAAACCCAAACCCCTAACCTGTCCCTGAAATGTCACAAATATTATTTCCTTGAAGTGATGAAAGTATTCTGGTAAGACTAAGACTTATATAAAACAAGATTATTATTTCCTTGAAGTGATGAAAGTATTCTGGTAAGTCTAAGACTTATAAAACAAGATTATAAGAGGAGCATGAAAAGTGAAATCAAACTTCTATTCTTTATGGTTACTTCCATTATTTCCATACCTTCTTTATTCATTAATTTGTAAATTCCCACCCCCCCCCCCTCTTCTCACACCAAACTTGAATATTTAAAAAAAACACCACAAATTACAACAAACAAGAAACAACAATAATCATTCCTAACAATTTGAGGGGTGAAATAATCAACAGTTTTGCTTGAAACCTACCAATTACAAGAAGGTCCGTCACCACTACTTGCGCCACTGACCCATCAGGTGCAAAGTTGCAGCTCCAGGACCCTTCATCACGTATAATATTGGCATTGGCGATGGTGATGATCCAGTGATACGTAGAGGGCACTCCTTGTTCTTGTGTCACTTGCAGGTGTAGGCTCCTTCCCGATCGCGGAGAAGAGACTGTCCAAAGCTGACAACATCTCCGTCATGGTACCACTCAATATTTTCGTTCATGTTGGTGTTGGTGACCGTGCAATCAAGGGTTACTCGTTGTCCCGCGGTGAGCGGCTGAACGGAGGAGATTGGTTGAATCTGAGGCTGGGCGAGTCCTGCAGAAATGGACAAATGGGAAAGATTCTTTACATGATTCAGAGAGAGAGAGAGAGAGAGAGAGGATGGTGGACTTTGTCATCATGATCCAAGAGATTAAAAAAAATACATGTTCTCCTTCTGTATCTGTATGATTTGGTCAGCAAAATGTCCTTTCCAGACACATCCACGCTAACGTATTTCACTATTTGTAGACAGAGCACGCTGTGTGTGGGTTGACTCCTTTGTAAATAAAAGGCCCATTCTATTTTATTCTAGATAAAATCCTATCCTTTTTAGCAAATCTATCATATTTCTCTCAAACCTGCAACGCGCCAACAGGATCACAATAACTGAATAAGTGCCAGTGGGAAATTGTCTGTGTGTTAGAAATTGGGCGCTGGTGCACTTTCTCACAGCCTCACAGGGCACCTACGAGGCTCGGTGCAGTGTTCGACTTCGATATGAAAAGTTTGTGTTGATTGATCATTGAATTGATTCAGCATCAGCATCTATTCTGAGCATCAGTATACAGAAATGTGAGGTGATCCTGTTGAAACTTCCGGTCGTTTCATTGATTGATTGGTGCTTCGTTCTAATAAACCTGAAACTATTTTTGCTCGCATGGCGGGTGGACGCACATATTAATTTTATGGAAGCATTTGGTGCTGAAAGGACCAGTGCTTGTCCAATCTGATCTTGAAAGAAGTGACGTGATGAGTGAGTGAGTGAAGATGCGGAGATTACAATTTTTCCATAAAATGCGAAGGAAAGACAGTTCAAAATATTGCATCGCAACTTAACTTAGCATAGAAGTTAGAGCCAGACTCGCTTAGAGAGTACTTAGACTAGAGAAAATATGTATCAGGCCTAACTCAGGCTAACAGAGATGCATTAAAATATGTCATTCCTCTGCACTTTTGCCGGGCCCTGGGCGGCGCGGCTTGCTACAGCAAAACCAACCGCTCGAGCGGCCAATTGGCAATTCAAATGCATCCCAATGCAATCCGCACTGACAGCATCAGTCAGTTCCGGGTTTGAGCAACTGGTATGGTACACACATTCGATCACAATCACATCAAAACAAATATGAATTCGTACTAATTTAGGTTAATTGATTGCAAAAATATTCTCTCAAACAATACAGATTCATGAAACACAGATACCTTCAAACGCTAACAGACTCAAACACGACAGAAAGAGGCAGAATTTCAAATTGTTAGTCCCCATTTTGAACACTTCTTGGTTTCAGGAACGGTACAGAAATCCTTTGAGATGTGCGTCTGTCTCCCTCTTTAGACCAAAGCTGAACAATTTCGCGCCCGCGCCAAAGACGAAGATATCTTTTCGACAATTCCAGTTATTGAATGCATTACTTGAACAGAAATAACCTTCTAATATTGGTTTATGGACATCCGAGGAAACTGTTAATCTTCAAATAATTGTGCTTACCCTTTCGGGTATTGATATTTTATGATCAGTCACTTAAAAGGCAGAACTTAGAGTGCATTTATCGTCGTTTTAGACTCGGATCGTTTCAGAATGGTTCTGCAGAACAGCGGCCGCTACAAGGCCGATCGCAGTGACAACGCCGACGGTGGTTGGGCCAAGTAAGTACTGGAGTTACGGCTAGGGTCGAGCGCGAGCTCTTACTGTTTAGCTCTAACAGTTAGCTCGGGTGCGCTGACATACGGCGTCACTTCGAGCGTTGTTTTGAAAATGTTGTTAACATCGAAGTGAGGGGTGTATTGAATTGAGAATGACGTTGTCGTTGAGATCACTATCACATCAAATGGTTTTCGAATTAGAGTAGAGTCTCCGGTTTGCGGCATCGCCCGGTTTGCGGCCAGGGGTATTTGTTTTAAAAATAAAATGAATATGACTCGATAATAATCATTGAAACCTACCGTGGATTCCACGGTAAGTTCTGCTTTGCCGAAAACGTCCGTAGCAGGTGCTCCTGTCGGTACGGAGTATCCGTCAGCGATGTCGGAAATCTACGGCACCAGTCGCCGATGAAAATTCCAGCAGGTGCTAACTTTTAAGTTAAGAATAAGAGATCGAGGCATCAATATTGTAGCTCTATTTGTCCGATATTTGTCCGATTGGAGGTGAAATTTGATGTTTTTGTGGAAGTATGATGGCTGTGGTCTGTCTCCTATCGCAGATATTTTGATTGTGCCACCGCATGGCCAGTTGCATGGGGTGGCCGCAAACCGGCACGTAATTACGTGTTTTTTCTGGTTTGCGGCGGGGGGTGTTAATACACACATAACATGCGGGATCGTGTATGATGGTATGTGTGCTGATGTGTGTACCCGCTATGACCCGATAGTTTCTAGTAGTACTTACCCCCGGATGGGATGATCCATTCGAGGAAAAGGTGAAATTGTTTAAAACTTGACAAATTTACCGTAGCAACAGATAAACATGAGAATTTGGGTTACCCGTAGTAATTTGGTACATGCTTTCATCGTGACGTAGCGCATAAAGCTTTGTGACGTACGCGTGCCGCAAACCGGTAATGCGTGCCCGCAAACCGGGGAACTCGAAGCATTTCGAAACGTGGTCAATGCTGACCACGCTGTGGGTCAGTTAGGTTATTTGTGACTTCTATTTAATAAGTAAGTATATGGACTCTTTATTGAGGGTATTGAAGTATTCTGTGAGTATTCCAATAAAAATAGAATCGGCAGTTCCCGCCGATCGGCCGCAGACCAGAGCCACTACTCTATATGAAACTAATCGTGCGCGTTCATTTCGCGGCCCATGGAATGGCAACATACTGACTTGTGATGGCGCTTTACAGCAATTAAAAAGATATGACAGGTTCAGAGCAGTAACAACTCACTTGTCGCGGAAGTTGTCGCTCATCTTGGCAAAGATGGCTTCGCGTGAAACACTTAGCTGACAAGTTGCACGACAGTGGCGAGATGTCGTTGATCTTGTGTAGTTATGACGGTTTCGAGAAACGGCCCTCCGGGTATTCTGCACGACTGCAGTTGTTCCTTAAATTTACTTACTTTAGTTATATTTTAAGCAGAAAATGAGACTTGACTTGACAGTTTACAAGTCGACAGTCGACAAGACTTGAGTCTTGACATTAGACTAGTCTGAAACAGTGAATGTGAGAGGAAATTACTGGCCAGTGCAGTGTCAGTGAAATTTAGTTTGAGCAAATTCAAATTCAAATACTTACTACTTACTTACTTGGTATACTTGGTAGATTAGCCCTCTTTTCCTAAGGGAAGGGCTCTCAATTGACTCTTAAAAGTCGCCACTGTAGGTGCAGACACTACTTTTTCTGGTAGGTTGTTCCAAGGTTGGACCACTCTGTTAGTATAAAAGTGGCCAGCCAGTTGAGTTCTGGAACGTCTTTGTACCACTTTTCTAGAATGCCCTCTTAATTCCTTATTTGGGTGGGAGAAAAATCTTTGTGCTGGAGTTGTGTAATAGCCATTAAGGTATTTGTACAAATTGATAAGGTCTGTTCTTGCTCTTCTCTCCTTCAATGTCTCAATAGGAATTTCCTTGTTACCAAGACGTAAGCATATAAATATAAATAAGAACATGTTGATTTGTTGTTGTTGTTGAAATAATTACAAATGCAATCATCAATCAACCATCAATTGGAAACACTAATTGATGAGAATTTTTAATTTTATGAAAAGAGAAACTATATCGTAGGAGTCTACCTAGACCGAAAGCTTCAGTCTCTCTAATCGTCGGTTGTTCCACTGAGACTACGTCTGGCTCCACTAGACCTCCGGTTATAGAGACTGAACGATCGCCTATGCCAGCCTATGTTGAAGATATCACGGCTAGATTTTAGCCGCTAGGCCCCTCCCACAAACATGACAAACTTGCCACGGCCGTATTGTTATGCCCCCAAAAGCCCCCAAAATGTCATTTTACCTCGTCCATATCCAATTTTAAATTAGGCCTAGGCTATAATACATCGGTTCCACTTACTAACTTGATTGAAATAATCTGTTTAATGGTCCCTTTTAAGGAAATTATGGGTCAAAATCGACATCCATGATAACGTCATTACGAACGTGTAGATGCCGCACAGTTTTTCCTTCATAATCATTTTGCCTTCGGCGTAGACTAGAAGGGATGAGATTGACGGCAGCGAGAGTTTAACACGGCTTGCAAGATTTTCAACATACATGGATGTCGATTTTGACCCATAATTTCCTTAAAAGGGACCATTAAACAGATTATTTCAATCAAGTTAGTAAGTGGAACCGATGTATTATAGCCTAGGCCTAATTTAAAATTGGATATGGACGAGGTAAAATGACATTTTGGGGGATTTTGGGGCATAACGATACGGCCGTGGCAAGTTTGTCATGTTTGTGGGAGGGGCCTAGCGGCTAAAATCTAGCCGTGATATCTTCAACATACGATGGTATAGGCGATCGTTCAGTCTCTATAACCGGAGGTCTAGTGGAGCCAGACGTAGTCTCAGTGGAACAACCGACGATTAGAGAGACTGAAGCTTTCGGTCTAGAGTCTACCCAGCCTCTGAGGCCAAGTTAGATACTTTTGCTTTTCCCCCACCATTTGTTTGTGTAGTTTCGTTCAGACCCTAGGACCCCCCCCCCCCCCCCCCCCCCCCCCCCCCCCCCCCGCCATAGCTTGTATTTAAGGATCTTTTCTCTTCATGAGCAGAAAATCAGAAGATTCATCCGAGGCCAGACTCCAGAGGTCGGTAATCAATGATGAACTGGATTTGCTGTATGGATTTGACCGCTACAAGGAGCCTGCCGAAAGGGTGGGCTGGCTCATCAACATGCATCCAGTAAGCCATTCTAAATTTTGTTTCTTCCTCTCACAGGTGCTTCTTCAAAATCTCTTTGAAAAGATTAGTTCCAAATAATGAAATTTAAGGTGCTACTTCATTTATTGGAGGCTATGGGAACTTTTTTAAAAATTTATGATATCATTTTAGGGTAAACATTAAACATTATAATAATTAGAAGCTATGAGAATTTTTCTTTTTAATTTATTATATTATTTTAGGGTAAACATTAAATACAATAAGTAACTTTAGCATTGGTTGATTTCCTAGCTGCAACATTCATGAAATAGGACTTATTTAATGGACTATTTTTGTCACCCTTTCAGGCGGACATTTTGGATGAGAGTAAGAAGCTGATCAGTGCTGTGGACTATTACTTCCTACAAGACGACGGCAGTCGCTTCAAGGTATTTATACATCAAATTTGTTTAAGAGCATATACCACTTATTAGAGGCTGGGGAATTGTACATTTGGTTCAAAGTTTTTCAAACTTATGGTATTTAGTTTCTTACAATTTTGTATCATGTTTTGGGAAGAAAAAGAAAGCACCCCCAAAATAAAAAATGAATAACAATAATTATAATAATTAGCAACCTCAAACAAATGAACACCTTTTATCATATAGGGAAAATTCTAGATCCACCCATGCCATGGAAAAAAAGTTGAATCATTTTTGTGCAGAAATATATATTATTTCTTTCTCTCTCTCTCTTTCCGAAGGAAAAAGAGGTAGAGTTTGTCCCAAGAAAGTTGTACAAGGCCAAATTGTCCATTGAAATAAAGAATACAAACTTTAATTTTGATAAGACTGAAAGTAAATTGTTGATGATAAGTACTAAACATTCAGACACGAAGGGGTTTGATGTGTATCTAAATTTCTAAAGTATTCCAGCAAGTTATTCCATATAGCAGTGGCTGCATGCCTGCATATGAAAATGGCCTTTCCCCCGTACGATTTTATCGCAGTTTGTGGGACATAAAGGAACAACTTTTTACTGGAATGCGGCATTCTTTCTGGTTTATAATCTCAACAATTCAATGAGATACAGTTAGACCTGTCTATAAAAGCCAACCAAGGGAGACAAGAAAAGTGGTCTGTATAGGCAGGTGATCTTTATGAACAGGTTCCTTTAGTACATGTTTCAATGTGAAACATTTTCAAGGGAAACAAAAATGTGGTCTTTGTAGACAGGTGGTCACTAAAGCCTCTGTCACAAATGCCATTACGAACTGCTACGAACGCGTTAAAAACGATTTTCAGACAATGGAAATTCGAGAAGACAATGGAAAAACATGGAGATTTGTACAAAATTATCGTTCGTACCAACCTTAGTGACCGTAGCATTAAGCAGGTTCAACTCTACTATGAAGCAAACTGATGGAAACATTCTATTTTTCTCTGAATCAGGTTTCCTTGCCGTTCAGACCCTACTTCTACATCGTCACCAAGAAAGAATGTGAGAGGGAGGTGTCTGCCTACCTGACCAGGAAGCATTTTGGAACGCTTGCTTCAGTGGAAACAGTCTACAAGGAAGACCTTGACTTGGTATGTATAATTCAGTGCCCTGTTTTCATGGAGAACAGTTCTCCCATGGGTTCAACAATTCTTGTCCTTTTTTTAAAGCATATCCCTGAGACGTAGCTTCCTGTCATATTGGAATAAATTAGTTTTATTACTGCAGCCATTTTGGTTTAGTACTTGCATTCTTCTCAGGATTTTAGGCTAGAATCCTCTTGGAAGGATTTGATGATACGGATTAATGCCTTACTAAAGAGCATGAGCGCATTGACTCGGATTTGAATCTGGGACCTTCCGGTTAGGAGACTACTGCTCTACCAATCCAATCCAGATATTTATGAAGCGTCAATATCTAGTCACCTAATCAAAGGAGCTGATGAGACTATAAAATTACCAAAAATGTCGGTTCATGATTCTAACTGAGAAAGACAAAACAGCAGTGACTAATTGTAAGCAATCTGAAATAGGTTTGTCTTTAGTTGAGTTCTGAAAGTGGATAACTGTTGACAAGAGCGAAGGATTTGGGGAAGACCACTCCACAATCTCGATGCACAGGCAGTAAATGATTGATCACCTAGAAGAGAACGTGTTCAAGAACTCTCAAGCAGGTATTTACCTGCAGATCGCAAATTACCACTAAGCCATCTTGCCTCCTGAGACTGAATACTCCCTTTTTATTCTCCAACAGCCAAATCACTTGGTGGGACTGAAGTGTAGCTGCCTAAAGCTGAGCTTCCACTCAACACAGGATTTGATGAAGGTCCGACGTGAAATCATGCCGCGGGTTCGCAAGAATCGAGAGCGCGAGAAATCCTCCTCGGCCTACACCGCCCTCCTAACCAGGTAATATGCGATTCCTCAAACCGATTGGTATTGACTCTTTATGATTTTACAAACTGTGGCCCTGTTGTGAGCAGTGGTGTATGATTAAAACAAATAGTGTTGAACTAAAGTACTCCATATATGTTTGCATGAGAAAGTTCTTATTAGTTTTAAGGTGATTTTGATTTGCTAGTACAGTCAAACCTGCTTTAGTTACAACCTATATATAGAAAGACCACCTGTCTACATAGACCTCATCCTTTTTATCCTCCTGAAAATGGTTTCTCATTGAAACATGTACTAAAGGAACCTTTACATAAAGACCACTTTTCTGTCTTCCTGGGTGGTCTTTATAGACAGGTTTCACTGTTCATGTATATTTTGGTATAATCCATGACTTTTCATTATGAAACTGTGTATTTAAAAATTAATAGTTAACCCCCAATGAGATAATTAGTAAAATAACTTTTATTTAACTTCCAGGGAATTATATGTTGTTTTGACCAAATGAAAGTATAGTTTAACAAACACCTCACACAATTCATATCTTAATCTCTGTAAACATTGATTCTTGTCCTCTTTATCATCAGCCATCTCGGTGGAGACGACAACCCTGGGGGCAGAGCAGCAGGAGGAAAGAAGATCAACGACCAGATGGATAACATCATAGACATCAGAGAGTATGACGTCCCCTACCATGTCAGAGTGGCCATCGACAAGAAGATTCATGTGGTAAGTTTTGAGTTCATTGGTTTCACATTTCACATGCAGATACAATACAGATAACAAAATATACCATAAAAGACATATTGTTTCATAATTTAAAAAAATGATTATAGTTATTGACAAATTTATCAGACTACAAAGTTACATATCATCAATTTTGTTGACAACTGTTATCATTTAAAGGAAATCAGACAAGAAAAACACAAAACTGTGAAATTTGCAGGAACCTATAGAAAAGTATAGCTTGTAAAGAAAGGGTTCCTGGGAGGCTTGAAAAAATTATGATTCTGTATACATCCAGCACCCGATGCAAAAATAGGATTCAAAGCACTTTATTTTACCCAGTCATAGGAATGATCTCTACATTAAAAGAGGTCAATCTGTTTATGTTCAGGGTCACCAGAGCAGCATTTTAAGAAATCATCCTAAGTACAAGTTGAAAGACCAAGACCCATTGAAACGCATTTATTAAATTTAACAGGTGTTTCAATTGGATGTCAGTGATCTTGTACTTATTAAAGACGGTTTTGTGAAACAATTACCAGGAGGTCATAATAAATTTAATTTCGCTTTTGATGTTATTCAAGACTCCCCTCTTTGTAGAGGACAGAGTGGCAAAATATTCTTGCGACTTGAAGCGGTATACCAGGGGCCCATTTCACAAAGCCTTTTTTCAATGACAAATGACAAAAATCAGTGACAAATCTGCTGATAACCAATCAGAAGTAAGGATTTCAGTAGCTTATAACACAAACTGTCACTGATGACAAGTTTTGTGAACGCCCCCCCAGATGTATATTCAGAAAGTGATGATTCTGTCTTTAGAAATGTGATTTCGATATTTTTATTTGTTATCCCTGGCCCATGAACAAATGCTAACACTGCATCGAACTTAACAGACTTTTCTCCTCAAATCTAATAGTTTGAATCTATGTCTCTCTTACTCTTTTACTCTCTCATTCTCCCGTTCTCATTCTCTTTCTCTCTCTCACTCTCTCTTTCTGCCCCCTACTCTCTCTCTTCACTTTTACAGGGTCATTGGTACTCTGTACAGGGGAGGGGTTCCATGGCACCCATCATTACACAGAGAGATGACCTGCTGGAGAGACCGGTAAGTCCTTGCTTTGAGCTGGAGAGATGAGTATCATGGTGGTGGAAATGATGATGAAGATGGTTTTGATAATTCTGGGGATGATGATTGATGATGTGGAATTGTGGATGGTTTTTGATGATTCTGGTGATGATGATGATGATGATGACGACCACTACGAAAACAACGACGGCCACTACGACAACAACAACGACGATGATGATGATGATGATGATGATGATGATGATAACGGTGATAACAATGAAGGTGATGGATGTGATTGTGGTAATGAGGTAATGCCATTAACTTGAATGGTTAAATAGAGAGTAAGGGCAGATGGTATTGCAGTTAATAATGTTGATACTCTGTATGGTGTTGATTGTAATTAAGCCAAATTTTTTATGATGGTAGTGATGATGGTGACGACGATGATGATGATGATGAAGGTGATGATGGTGATGATGATAATGATGAACATGATGATGAACATGATGATGAACATGATGATGATAATGGTGATGATAATGGTGGTTATAACGATGACGAAGATGATGATGTGGTTGTGATTATCATAATGACAACGATACTGATGATTTTTTATTGGTAACTGAAGTAATGAAGGTTGCCTGGATGATATGGCATCATCAGAGTTAGTAATAATCATACTGTGGATGCTGTTGATTGTAATTAAGCTGAAGATTACAATGTTTCTTGTTATTGAATAGAGATCATGAATAAGGATCATGATGAAATTGATTTCTATTGCTTCCTATCATACCATTCAAAGAAAATATTTATTTTCACATGTGATGGGGAATGTTACAAGAAAAATAAGGAGATATGGAACTGTATTTATCTCAGACAACTGTTACATGGAAACCACTAAATCAGCTATATATTCTTTCACTTTTAAGTAATTCACATGCTCCAATTGTTTAAGTCTGTTATTCCAGAACACTCTTCATATATTTTTCATCCTCAGGATCCTGTTGTTCTGGCCTTTGACATTGAAACCACCAAGCTACCGCTCAAGTTTCCTGACGCAGAGACGGACAGCGTCATGATGATCTCATATATGATCGATGGACAAGTGAGAAATATTTACAATCGTGAATTAAATTAAAAAATTAAATTAAATGAAAAGCCTTGGTACTCTTTTTTTTCTCCATTCTTTCTCTCCTCCTATAGTCCTTACAGTGATTGGGTATCTTTTTCTCAGATTCTAAACAAAATCTTGGATTTATTTAGCTCATGTTGCAATTATAAATCTTTAGGTCAGTCAGGAATCCCATAACTTTTACAAGCCGATCGTCTGCCTGATTATGATTGGAAATCAAATTATCAGAATTTGTTTTCCTAACAATTTTATAACACTACAGTCGATTTGGGAAAATGAGTATGGTAAAATAAGAAAGGCGAATAGATAAGGAGTGAAAGAAAGAGAAATGGGGAGAGAAATGGAGGGGGGGGGTGGGGTGAATAGACTAAATGTATGCTTGAAACATCCCTCTCCACAATCTTTTTAATCCTCCTTCACAAGTGCACATTATGATTATTCTCCTCTCTCATTTGTCACATTTTCTTCTCCAGGGATATTTAATCACAAATCATGAAATTATCTCAAAAGGGTACTTGGAAACTTTCACTATCCCTCTGCAGACCCCCTTCACTCCTCTTTCATAATTTTTCCTTTTTTATTTGTCACATTTTCTTCTCCAGGGATATTTAATCACAAATCGTGAGATCATCGCAGAAGACGTAGAAGACTTTGAGTACACCCCGAAGCCGGAGTACGAAGGACCCTTCATTGTGTACAACGAGGACACCGAGATGACCTGCCTGCAGAAGTTCATTGACCACGTCTTGGAGGTCAAGCCTAACATCATCGTCACGTACAACGGAGACATGTTTGATTGGTAAGTATGGTTACATATTGTCTATTCCAACAAGCAATAGAGTACCAAAGTGTGACGTCATATTAGTTAAGTTGTCAAGGTTGCTTGTTCTAAACGATTTTGTGCTAAACAATGGCGTTGTGATCACACCACCACCAAACATTGAAATTGCCCTGCTCCAGCGTGTTGCTTGAATGATTTTGCAGTGAACCTCATGCAATCGCTCTGTTGTTTGGAACCAGTAAGCTGAATAAAGAGAGAATATGACGTTATCACTTGGTTACTCTATAGCAATATAGTTGATGGACATACAGATTCATTCTTTGTCCGTTTGCTAAATTATATCAATGTCTTTCAATCGGATGTCTGTGGAATTAACAGATGGTTTTGTGAAATGTATTCACGCTGTCCGATAATTTTCATGGGGGTAATTGTTGTGATATGCTACTTTACGGAAACACATTAAAAGACAACATTAAAAAACAAGTGCGTCTTCAACAAAACTTTGTTTCCTCTGTTTATGCAGGCCTTTCATTGAGACCAGATACAAACATTATGGCATTGACATGTACAGAGAGATAGGCTTTCAGAAGGATGCTGCAGGAGAATACAAGTGTAGGAGTGTGATCCACATGGATGCATACAGGTAGGTAATCCCCGAGCCGACTTTGACAAGAATGGTTAGGTATGGAGACAGCTAGGTCCTTCGCCAAAGCTTCACACATCCCCTGGAACTCTATTCCTTCTCATTGTAGACAATTACAATGTAGACTCCACAGAATAATTTAAATCACAATTAAAAGCGCATCTGTTTATCTGATGTTTAAGTTTCATTACCCAAAGAACTATAATATTTTGAAATGTTGTATGTCTATGCATCTGTTTATCCAATATTTGAATTTCTGTTTATAAAACATTTGAATTCCTGTTTATCTAAGATTTAAGTTTCATTACATGTCAAAATATTATTATCTGTTGAACTGATTTGTGTTATCTGCGTATTCATTTTTGTCGTGCATTGATCAAAATTTTTGGATACATGTTCGTTATAAATTCATATTATTAATATTTTGTTCTGCCGACCTATAATCCTTCCACATTTGCTCTGGCAACTTTTGCTCTGGTGATATTTGCCCTGATTTCAATTGCTCTAGCAAGATTTATATTGATGATGACAAAGCTGTTCTGCTTGCTGTACAATACAGAAATGTGATGTGTGTTACACGTCATCTTTAAAAAAAAACACTGCGGTTTCATCGTTTGCTGCATCATATCTGAATGAGCCCCTAGGGTTGCTGTAGATTTGCTAAGGGATAAGTTTATGGATAGGTTAGGGATAGTACTATGAGACAAATTTGATGGCAATTATATAGAGTAGTAAACACTGCATACGGATATGGGACTACACACAGGTGACCTAAAAATTAAGTCTCATGTTTTTAGCTGCAACATTTCAAATAGGAGGACAATTCAATAGCCATTCTTATCATGTGACACTGCTATTTCACTATTCTCCCACATAGGACTAAGAGCAGTTGGAAAGCTTTAAAAATGAATTAATTTATCTTTATCATAATTCGCTCTTATCTTTATTTCTTTGTTTACCAATGATCAAAGCCCTCGCCTGTCGCATCATCTTGAGTACATTGTACATGTGACAAAAGTGGCCTGGCAGTCAGATTTTTTTTTACAGTTGAAAATAATAATATATTACATTTATAAAGCACTTAATACTATGTTTCTAAGCACTACAACATTATTATACATGATATATAATTATAATAATAATTTCCTAATAACAATTATATAATGATGATAATTTATCTTTACATGGCGCTTTATATATCAGCAAACAAAATATAAATACATTAAATATTGAAAAAACAAGTTTTAAGTTTTCTCTTAAGTTGGAGACTCACGCATTTCATGGTGAAGTTTGTTCCAAAGTTCCATAGCGGATATGGGTGCAGGTGCGAGGGCCTGGGGCTAGATGAAGATGTGCTGTGGTCACATATTTTGATTTCTATGCTTATCTCTAGATGGGTCAAGCGAGACAGCTACCTCCCCGTAGGCTCCCAGAACCTCAAGGCCGCCTCCAGGGCCAAGCTCCGCTACGACCCCATCGAGATGGACCCAGAAGACATGTGTCGCATGGCCAGCGAGCAGCCCCAAACCCTCGCCAACTACTCGGTCTCAGACGCGGTGGCGACGTACTATCTGTATATGAAATACGTACATCCGTTTATCTTCGCGCTGTGTACCATCATTCCTATGGAACCGGACGAGGTAATGTCACTGAATTGTGGAACCTGTATTTTGTTGTGTGACATTTAAATTAAGAGAACTTAAATACCCACTGCACTACTTGTAACTACTTGCACCCTCTATATAGCAAACAATGCCTCATTGGTGACCATTGGTCCCCCATGATCCCCTATTTCTTATGTTAATTAAGAGCTCTTTTGATGAGATAACAACCTGTCAGTGACCATGCAGGGAGGTCTAATCCCTCCTGGCCAAACTAGTGTGTAATTGTAAAATTAAATCGTGTTTGTTCTGATATGTCTTGATAACAAACGGTAGGTTCAGACCCCCATATAAATACCCTCTTAATGATGACAGCCTAAGCTTGTTTGTGAAAGGCTACACTTCTACGTTTCCCATTCTATTGATTGATCTAGGTCTTGCGGAAGGGGTCTGGAACTCTCTGCGAGGCCTTGCTGATGGTCCAGGCCTACCATGCCAACATCATCTTCCCGAACAAGCAGGAGCAAGTGTTCAACAAGCTGACCAGGGACGGACATCTTTTGGAGACGGAGACCTACGTTGGAGGCCACGTCGAGGCCTTGGAGTCTGGGGTCTTCAGGAGTGATCTGCCCTGCCGTTTCAGAATGGTAAGAGAGAGAAAGAAAGAGAGACAAAGACAGACAGAGAGAGAGAGAGAGACAGACAGACAGACAGACAGACAGACAGAGAGACAGACAGACAAGAGAGAGAGAGAGAGACAGAGACAGAGAGAGAGACAGAGAGACAGAGAGATAGAGAGACAGACGGACAGAAAAACAGAGACAGATATACAGAGAAACGGCATAAGAGGAGAGAGAGAGATTTTATCTTGGAGATATAGGAGGGCACGTTGAGGCCCTGGAGTCTGGGGTGTTCAGGAGTGACCTGCCGTGCCATTTTAGAATGGTAAGAGAGAGAAAGAGAAAGAGACACAGTGAGAGAGAGAGGACAGACAGACAGAGAGATAGAGAGAGAGGGGGGACAAACCAAGAAGAGGAGAGAATGAGTAGTCTTGGAGATCTATGATGGAGGGCACGTTGAGGTTCTAGTACCTTGGGTCTTTAGGTGTGTCCTGCTGTGCCAGTTTTTAATGGTTAAGAGATGTAGAGGGAGGGAGTGAGGGGGCTAGAGACAAAGACATACAGAGAGAGAGAGACATAGAGACAGCCGGACAGAGACGGATATACAGACAAAATAGTTGAATTATAGTTAGAAATGAAAACAAGAGATTTCGCCTTGGACACCTACGTATATATACAACTGTACATATGGCTGTGACAAATAAGGATATAAAATGAATGTTAAAATGACTAACAAATCATCAAGGTATAAATGGAACACTGAGGATATCACTTCCTCAGAAAATATATAACGTATCACCTCTCCTTTTTTGATCTCCTTGTTTAGGTACCTGAGGCCTTCCAGCAGTTGATGGAGGATGTCGAGAGAACGATGAAGCACGCCATCGAGGAGGAAGAGAAGATACCCCTCAGCACAGTCACTAACTTTGAAGAGGTGAGTTAAAGAGAAGGTTCAGTTCTGTTCAGTGCCTAAAATTACTGATAAGTCATAACTCTGACAGTAGAGCAAATTGACAAAGATATGGTAAATTGTTTTCTTTTGAATTTTGTCAGGGTAATATGGATTTCACTGAAGTAAACTAGAAGTGGTATACCGGTAGTAGAAAAGCTTATGAGGTTTAAATTTACAGGCATTTGAAAATGCAATATCTAAATGATTGTGCATGTATTAACTATGTTTCTCCATTTCCGTTACCTAGATTTGTGAGGAGATCAGGGAAAAGCTAGCAGCTCTTCGAGACAACCCTGCCAGACTTGAGAACCCTGTCATCTATCATCTTGACGTCGGAGCCATGTACCCCAACATCATCCTTACCAACAGGTTACAGGTGGGTGGTTACTAAATTGGCAATGCCGACTGCATTTGAGGCAGATTGCATGAGACAGCATTCCTTCAAGTACATGTATATTTGTTGGCAGATAAAGCCTAAAATAAAAACTTGTTGTATTGCCCTTTAAGTGCCAAAACATGGGTCGGTCGTCAGAAAAGGTTTTTTTTTTTTAAACTTTTTTTTGTCGCCCTCTTTGGGCCGACATTTTTCAGTTTGGGATGGGTTTTGTTTTTCCCCGCCCTCTCCTGGCTGATATTTCCCAGTTTTCTAGCTGATGCAGTGCATGGTATAAACTATAAACATGTACATGAGGCCGGGGTCTACTTGCATGTTTACGCTAGTAGGATTTTGAAACTAGGGTAGAAGACGAGTGAGAATTTGGGAATAATTTGATTTTATGCTTTTATATCCCATTTAAACAAACAAAACACATATTTTTGTATACATTAATAAAAAAAAACATTCTAAAAAACGGTTTGAATTTTTTTTTTTTTTTAAATGCTGACCGTATATTTTTAGATTTTTGGGACGGTCGCAAAGGGCAATACAACAAGTTTTTATTTTAGGCCTAACTGCAAAATTGAAAATGTTGTTTGACATCGATGACACTCTGAAAGGATGATCATTGCTTCTTTAGTACTATTAATGATGTTTTGGGGAAGTTTGTATATTGCCTGATATTAAGGATTTTGACTTGCTAGACGGGGGGTTGCTAAATTGGCAATGCGAGCTGCATTTGAGGCAGTTTTTACGAGACATCATTCATACAACCTAATGAATTTTGACTTGCTAGATTGGCAATACCAATTTCTTTTGAGGTAGCTCGCTCTCTTCTTGATTTCAAGTGGTCGATAGCTGAAATTAAAATGATAATCATTCTTCTGAAGAGATTACATTGTATCAGCATGTTAGGAGATCTTGTTGATTTGCATAGCATCTTGTATGTATTTGAAACTCATGCAAATACTAGACTTAGTATACAAGCAAATTCTAAATCTAAACTTTTAGAGGCAACATTGAAATTCAAACAGTTTCTCAATGTTTGTCTTGTTACACAAAGCGAGACAAGAAAGTTCCTCTTTATAGGCAGGTGATCTTTATGAACAGGTTCCTTTCATACGGTTTCTATGCGAAATATTGTCAAAGAAAACAGAAAATGTAGTCTTTATAGACAGGTGGTCTTTGTATACAGGTGGTCACTGAAGAAGGTTTCACTGTGTGTCATATGCCTTACTTGTGCTTCATTACTTCTTTCAGCCTTCTGCTATGGTGGACGAGGCAGTGTGCGCTGCTTGTGACTTCAACAAACCAGGAGCTCGCTGTCAGAGGGAGATGTCTTGGATGTGGAGGGGAGATTACAGTGAGTTAAGAAAAGTTTTGATTAAAGCCCCACTGCACTACTTATAGCTACTTGAGCCCTCTATATAGCAAACAATGCCTATTGGTCCCCCATGATCCTCTATTTCTTATTGAGAGCTGATTTGATGAGATAACCACCTGTCAGTGACCATGCAGGGAGGTCTAATCCCTCTTGGCCATACTAGTGCAGTGGGGCTTTAAAGGCCTTCATTGATACAGTTATCTTTTTTTTATCTAAGAGTTGACAGTGATGGAACACAGAATTCACTTTAACTCCTTATGAGCCATCCACCGAATCACGAATTGCCACATTGTTTGGACGTGTCGTGTTCGAGTGGTTACGTCTCAGGACTGTGGACCGCATGGTCTGCGGTTCAAATCCCACCGAGGCACTAATGTGCTTTGGCAAAACATTAATCCACATTTGCCACACTCGACCCAGGTGATGTAAATGGGTATCTGTCAGGAATTAATTCCTTGAAATGCTAGAGCGCCATAATGGCTGCCGTGCTAAAGCTGGGGTCATAATGTGAAGTGCCATGAGTGTCAAGTATGACAGACATGAGCGCTTTTTAAGAACCCACTATTATTAGTAGTATAATATTACACATGTACACTTTACATGTAATAATAGTGTTCAGCACCAAGAGATAATATATTAAACAAAATACCTGTAACACATTGTTTTGTCTACATCACATATTCCTATGTGCATTACAGTGCCAGCTTCGAGGGGGGAGTACCACAGAATTCAACAGCAGTTGGAGATTGAGCGGATCCCTCCAGCTAATCCCGGCGAACCTCACAGGGTCTTCCATGAACTGGGCAAAGAGGAACAAGCCCTGCTGGAAAAGAAAAGACTGCAAGGTATTGTCACATTGATTTTGTTGTTAAACCACTAATGCAATTTTTGTTGGGCAAACAAGTGATTGCCCCACAGATCCCTTCAATAACTATTGCTCCATGACCGATTTCTACTACAGTCAAACCTGCTTTAGCGACCACCTGTATAGAAAAACTACCTGTCATTTCACATTGAAACATGTACTAAAGGAACCTGTACATAAAGACCACCTGCCCATAAAGACTGCTTTTCTTGTCTCCCTTGGGTGGTCCTTACAGACAGGTTTCACTGTACTAAGCCAATACCATCTTGAATCTATGAACCAATAGGATAGGATACCTAAACCTAACCCCAAACCTATTCTAAACTGAGATCAAACATGTGTTTCTGTAAAAGAAGAAACTGTTGTGTGCAAGAAACTTTCCCAAATCTTGAGAGTGTCTTTATAGATTTACCAAATCTTCATGTCACATACATGGTAGTTAGTAATGACTCATATTGATGTGTTCGGCAAGTTTCATGACTAGAAAAACAGCTGTCGCTAACCATTTCAGGACGGGTTTAATTTAAGGGCTAAATTGATCATGTGCTGTTTTTCAAATTGGCAACAATAATGTTTTTCTGTTATTGCTACATTGTTCTAATAAAATGTGATGTCGCTAAGAAAAATATTTATTAGTACCGACAGTTATTGAGCCATACCAGAAAATATGGAATGATTGTCCAAAAAGGGTTAAGAACGGGTAACAGTTTATAGTTTTTGCAGTTCCTTTGGTAGTATTTTTCCTGATTCTTGCATCTCTTTCTCTCTTTCTCCTAGAGTACTGTCGCAAGGCGTACAAGAAGACAAAGATCACGAAGCAAGAAGAAAAACACACCACCATCTGCCAGCGAGAGAACTCTTTCTACGTCGACACGGTGAGGGCGTTCCGTGATCGGCGCTATGAGTTCAAAGGTCTTCTCAAGGTCAGTGCTTCAAATATTCCTCGATATCTCCTCTTTTCACAGCCAATATCTATACCTACCATATTTAGTACAGTCCAGTCTTTATTTTTACCCTGAATAAAAACAACATATATATACAATAAATAAATCTAAGCACGCTGATTCATCTGAACTGATTTTAGATTGAATTGAATCCAGAAGCACATCTTGTAATGATGAATCGACATTGTTGTCACTAGCATATAAATCACTAAAGAAGTTGTAAAACACATCAGAAATATCATCACCATCTACAATTTGTCCATTTTTGTTTCGAATTTTGTCAATAAACTTATTATTAGCATTTTTTTGTTCATTCTTATAAAAATATCCAGGCTTCTCTCCATTTTCTAGAAATTTTTCTTTGGACCTTCTAAAATAGAAGAAAAACCTGGTTTTAAAGTTTGCCACATTTTATAATTAAAAACAAATTCTTGTACAAATTTATCATCTTCACATAATAATACATTCAATTTCCAATATGATTTTGACAATTTTTTCTTTTGAGGAATACGAATAACTGAATTTAAAACGTTATGATCTGAAAGGGGAAAGTTCATAACCAACGATTTGATTACTTTGAATTTTTTTTCAACATAAATTCTGTCTAAACGAGAGCTTTGTTTTTTTGCCCGGATGAAACCAAGTATGACTAAAAAGCACCGGTTCCTGCCACCAACCAAGAATCCAAAAGCGAACAAGAATGAATAATGTCATTTAATTGTTTCCTTCCTACAAAGCTCACAGTCTCACAAAGTCGATCATTGACATGCATTACACAATTAAAATCACCCCCGAGAATAAGAGGAACATTTCCTCGCATTGCAAAATGTAATCCATTGAAAAATGTAATGCGTAAACTTGGATTACACGGTGCATATATATTACATATACGAAAACAACAGTCTGGAAAAGAACATAATACAGAGATGTCACGCCCCTCTAAATCAGGCCTGAGTTGAGAAAAATACAACGTTTTTCAGAAAAAGCAATGCAACTTCACATGAATGATTAGAACGGGAGGCCAAAAAGAAAACTGGACCTTCCCAAACTGAATTAAAAAATTTAAAATCTTTGGTGCCTAAATATGTTTCTTGTAATAATACAATGTCAAAAGAAAAGATACTTAACCACTTTATGACGTTTGTGCATTTTAATGAATCTTGTAAGCCGTGAACAATAACCGAACAAACTGAAAAATTAAAAGAAGGTAAATTGTGAGGGCGCATGATTAATTAGAAGAGTTCACCAAAAATCAAATCATTCCAATAAAAAATATCAGTCGAAAAAGTCAATATTGTGAATGGACACATACTGCGGGTGCCGCCACGCCAAATGATTCAATCACTCCTTAGGAGTATTACACGTGACTTTGCAAGACTTAAGGGGGCATGCGTACCTGCTAATAGTTAGTTCGTTGTGCCGGTCTCTCATATGGCACAGAAAGCTCTCGTACTTCATAAAGTCATGAGTACACTTCTCCGTTTTACACGAAATCCATCTCTGCTCCTCCTTCATAATCTCGGTCTCTGCCACCAGTTCTTTCGCTTCATTGCCTCCGCGGCCATGTGACGATCTGGAACGTCTTCGGGGTGAAACTGAAGACCGACGCTTCACCCCACACCTAAATATGTTTCTTGTAATAATACAACGTCAAAAGAAAAGATAATTAACCAATTCAAAACATTTCTGCATTTAAATGAATCTCGTAAGCCGTGAACATTAACCGAACAAAGTGAAAAATTAAAAGAGGATAAATTGTGAGGGCTCATGATTAATTAGAGGAGCGCACCAAAATCAATTTATTCCAATAAAAAATATTGGTTGAAAAAGTCAATATTGTGAATGCACACATACTGAGGATGCCGGCCCACCAGATGGTTAAGCCACTCCTTATGAGTATTACAAGAAACTTTGCAAGATTTAAGGGGACATGCATACCTGCTAATGTTCAGTTCACTGTGCCGGTCCCTCATGTGGCACACGAAGCTCTCGTAGGTCATAAAGTCCACGGTACATTTCTCAGCCTTGCAAGATATCCACCTTTGTTTTTCTTTAACAATCTGCGTAGCTGCTGCAAGGTCAATCCAAACTTTATCAAACTTATGTCTGGACCATCTTTTCCAGTCTTCAACCAAACGTAAACAAAATTCATCCCTAATTCTTAATAACAAAATATCCTCAGAAACAAAAAATTTCTCAAAAATATATGGACAACGTCGATTCCACACTACTTTGCGTGTAACAACAAATAAATACCAACCTCGTGCCCATTAACATGCATTAATAGTAGCCGAGGATCCATACCAAAAACAATCCTTATTAAATAAAACATGCCCACCCAGCACTTCCTTTGCCACCTCGCATATTCAACAAATAATTCTCTGAACGGATCCACATTCCCCAAAACATGATCAATACTTTCTAATGTTAAACAAAATGGTAAACAAAAAGCCATTGCTCAAACACCATTTGGCAAGTTTTTCACGTGTATAGAGTGCTCTGTTTGTTACTTTCCACATAAAAGATTTGAAACGATTACAAAAAACTGAATGATTAACATTTTTCCAAATAAAATCCCATTTCTTTGATGGATCTCTGACCAACACTTCTGGTACAAAGTCAATTTTGAACAAGTTGACAGTATCTTTAACTGTTTTACTGCATGCAGATTTTTTGTCCTTCATTACTAAATACAAAATGATTTCCCGAGCTTGGGCATAAGAGGGAGACAAAACATCACAATGTGGAACTGAGTTGGACCACCAAAAAGAAAACAGATAATGTAATATACTTGCCATAAAATAGCGTAAAAACAAGTAATTACATGAATAATCATCAGTTTGGTTAATTTGTGGGAACATAGTATGTATAAATAAGGCTTTCATTTTAATACCTAAATTGTCTAACCCAAGATCGCCTTTTTCCTTACTGAGATTATACTGAGAGAAATTCTGTAGATTTGTGACCATGATTTGTACGTCCCTTGAGAGACCAATGCCAGTGAATGATGAAAGCAAATACTGGCATGAACTGCCTGCCATAGGTAAGTCCAACTTAGTTGATCTTATTCTTTGTGAAACACCCCCTTGATGGTGTACAAATTTGAAACTCATCTTTATTTTTTCACGGCAGGTTTGGAAGAGGAAGGTCGCAGGGGCCATGGAGAAGGGTGATGCAGCCGAGATCAAGAGCGCAAGGAACAAGGAGATCCTCTACGACTCTCTGCAGCTGGCCCACAAGTGTATCCTCAACTCATTCTATGGCTATGTGATGAGAAAAGGGTAGGTCCATTGAGGGCTATACAGTCAAACCTGCTTTAGTGACCACCTCTCTACAAAAACCACATTTTTTTGTTTCCCTTGAAAATGTTATCTCATTGAAACATGTACTAAAGGAACCTGTCTCCAAAGACCACCTGTCTACAAAGACCACTCTTTGTGTTTCCCTTGGGCGGTTGCTATAGACAGGTTTGACTGTATTTTTAACCTGGAATCAATGATGAGCAGTCAATGATTGCTCTTTATATCACAACCATTCTGCTAATCTTTTTATATAAATTATACATTCCATATTTTGATCATGATGTTTTACCATGTTTGATTGTGATTTCATAATACTTGTAATTGTCAACTGTTAATTTACAATTTGTTATACTGTACACCTCATAAATTCAGCCTTCAGCGGCTGCCATTGAATTGTTAATCTAATAAATCATTATTAATGAATGAATGAATCTTTAGAATGTGCAGTTGTGTATACATTCACCATTACAAGTACATCGTTGTATTTATCCAGAACATGATTACCAATCCAGAAGCAATTGGAGTATGTGTGTCCTTCTGTGTGTATTAGATATGCTTGTTTTGGAACTTTGGGTATTTTATTTGTGTCTTCATACCCTTGTCACAATAGAGACAATATGCACCTGATCAAAAGCAAATTAGCTCTGGAATGCTCTAAAAAGGGTTCCGGGAACTGGAATCAGGAGTGTTGGTAAAAGACAAAAGATATATACTGATAGCCTCAGAGGAGAAATCACATCTTGTGAAGAAAATTGAAAAAGAGATCATGTCAAGAATTCATATTTTAGTTGTGTCCAAATTAACTAGAATGTTTTGGTTCAATTGATTTTGGTTTGGTTTCTCAATCATGCCAAAATGCACCTGAGCAAATTTAAAGCAAATTGATATCTAGAAAATGGGTTCAGGAATTCTAGTAAAAGATGAAAGATTTGTATAAGGTAGGCTCTGATGAGAAATCACCATTTGTCAAGAAAATTGATATAAAGAGATCATTTGAAGAATTTTTTGTTTCTCTAGATCTCGCTGGTACTCGATGGAGATGGCAGGTATTGTGTGCTATACTGGAGCTGGGATCATCACCAGGGCCAGGGAACTCATTGAACAGATCGGGTATGTTTATTTTCTTCTTTATGATGGTGTGGAGGGTTACAAACATGGAGCTGGTGAAGGTGTTCATCGCAGTTGCAAGCATGGATGCCCAATTTTGGGGATGTTAGTAATTCTGTCAGTGGTACATGTACATCTAGGAATAGTACTCTTAATTAAGCACTTTTTAAAGTTGAAGTGTTTGTTGTCCTTTCTTTTTTTTTCTCTTTTTTTTGCTGATGTTGGTTATATTATTGTTGATGATGGTAGTTTTTCAAGGAAAGAATTGATGACGCAGTTGAATAAAGAGATATATAATTCTAATTTTGGTGATGATTGGTAATGAAACTCCTTTGCAAATATCTGTTGAATACAACTGATTGTATATTTATGAGCTTTACATTAAAACTTTGTTTAATTTCATGTATGTAAATGAACAGACGCCCTCTTGAGTTGGACACAGACGGTATCTGGTGCGTGATGCCAGCCAGCTTCCCTGAGAACTTTGACATCAAGACCACCAACCCAAAGAAGCCTAAAGTGGCTATTTCCTATCCTGGAGCCATGCTTAACATCATGGTGTGGGTAAGTTTTCCTCATAAATCTGCAGACAAATCAGCCCAAATGTGTAGTTAATGTCCACAAAGAAGCCCAAAGTGGCTTTTTCTCTACCCAGGGGCCATGCTTAACATCGTCGTGTGGGTGAGTTTTCCTAATGACTCTGCAGACATATCAACCCAAATGTGTATTTAAAGTCCCCATAGAAGCCCAAGTTTGTAGTTTAAAGTCCATTAAGAAGCCTAAAGTGGCTATTTCCTACCCTGGAGCAATGCTTAACATCATGATGTGGGTAAGTTTTCCTAATGACTTTGCAGAATTAGCCCAAATGTGTATTTAAAGCCCACAGAAAAGCCCAAAGTGGCATTTCTCTACCCTGGGGCGATAATGAACTTCATGATGTGGATTCGTTTTCCACCTGATTCTGCAGATGTATTACCCCACATCTTTGTCTTCTTGGTTGATTTTAGTTTGATATTTCCAAGTCATCGTTTCAAAATCCTCAGTCAGATCCCACAATGGAATGTGCTCTCCAGTATTCACACATGTTGTTCATAGTTTGGTGCAGAGTATGTGGAAAGTTTAATGAATTGGGAGTCGCTATTCTTGGTATGAACTTGAGGATCTGATATCTGTTCTCTTACTTTTCTAAGTTTTTTCCTGTATTCATCGGGGCATCGTTTCACAAACCTGTCATAAGTACACAGTCAGACCGCAGCGCGCGCGTTAATGAGGCTGAAAGCTGATTTTTACTCAGCGTCTCTTTGGTAATCTCGTGCATTCACGTGTGCTGAAATTCACAAGATTTTCTGTGAGATTTGTAAGGGTGTACAATCAGCTGCTTTTGTGGTCGATAACTTTAGTCAACATGGCAGCACGCAACGGTAATTACTCTAGAGATTTTCAGCTTCAGTTTGATATGAAACTTGCCATATTTCACAATTTTGAAACAATCTTTTTTCACCACTTTTATGGTCGTTATTTTTGTAACATTACAACAGCTATTTTGTACCCGGAATTTCACTTTTGGTTCCTGACTTTGGTACATAATTAATTTGTTTACTTTGAGATTCGTTGGAAAGATGAAAAGTCACTGATCAAAATAATGTCAAAACCTAATTGACGCAAAATCATGTTTTCTTTATAATCATAATAATTAAGACCCTAAAAACCCGGAAATTACCAATTTGTTCTTTCTATGATGGCGCGAAATTGTGTGATTTCATACTCGTGCACGCTCGCCGTCTGAGCAATGACAATGTATAACTGATTATTAAACTCCAGGGAGCTCCACCGCGCCACAAACTGGTAAAAAAAAATAAGAAAAATGATTAAAAAAGAAATATTGTAGAAAATAATTATCAAAAGGGCAATTAACGTATTTGATCCAGGGTCCTCAGATCGTTGCCATGACTGCTTATGCGCACGTGCATTACAGGCGCACGCCACAAAACTAGGTTACTAAAATCTGGTTTTTAGAATGTTAATAAACCAAAGCGGAACATATATGACGTAGTTGACGTAGTTGACCAATCAGAACGCTGTATTATCACATCGGCAAAGTTGACTACTTTTTTTAATTATTCATAAACATGGGCGTGATTTTTTTTGGTTCCTGACTTTGGTACAGCGTAAAATAAAATAATTTTGATATCATTGTAAAGAAAAATATTTATGCTTTATGCTGATTATAACATCTTCTTGACGCAAGAATGATTTCTATGTGAAAATCAGCCCTACTCTTTAGATAGATTTATCGTCGAAAAACCCCATTTTCAAGGCGAAATATCTGTTTTCAAAATATATCTAACATGATTGTCATATAAGTATATAGAGAGTGCAACTTCTTATCTTTAAAATAAGACCCATTTCATGAGAAATGAACAGTTATAAAGGCAAAAACTGCCGATCGGGAAGACCGTCTGCACTACGCATTACGTATACAAGACACGTAAATTCTTGCATACGTGCTGAGTAAAATAGAGGGTTTTTGCACCGGCTGCGGTCTGACTGTACATGTTTGCCAGCATCTCATTAAAAAGTTTGTTTTGGTTAATACACGCTTTTCAATGGGATGTCATTGAACTTGTAATTTTGACAGTTTCGTTAAAGGATGCCCTGATGGCTTTTGGTCCTTCCTTGGCATCCATCTGTTGCAAAGTTTGTACATATAAAACCCATTGTCTAATATGATTCTCAACATTATAAAATGGGATCGATACCTTTCTATAACCTGCCAGTTATTTGGAAAATATAGTAATAAAAATATCTTTTTTTTTTGCTATCCTCTCCAGGACTACAACACCAACGACCAATACCAGGAGTTGGTTGACCCCAGCAATCTGACCTACCAGGTCAGGAAAGAGAACTCCATCTTCTTTGAGGTAGACGGTCCCTACCTTGCCATGATCCTCCCGGCGTCCAAGGAAGAAGGCAAGAAGCTGAAGAAGAGGTGAGGTCAATAGGTCAAAGGTGAAGGGTCGCTCGCCATTTTAAACTAGAAGAAATGTTCATGTAAAGGGATTCATTGTAAGGTATATCTACACTTACAGGGAGTGTAGCTTAGCAAAATAATGGTTAACGCCATCTACATCTTCTTTTGGACAACTGCACATAAACAAATGGACTTGATTAACGGTCGTCAGTGACTTAATCTCTACATGGTCAGCGTTCTTGAAACAGACCAAAGTTCTCCTCACGCTTCGGTTTTGCGTATGTTGCATGCACGTGATTGCTGCCGTTGTGTGGTCCCTAATTATATTATACCAGATTGGCCCCGAGTCAGGCCACGGGAAAGACGTAGTCTTGTCAGGCTGCACTCTCCTTAAGAAACAGTTTTCCTGATTAACTAAGGTGTTTTAAAGGTAATTCAATGCTGTCTTTACCACCCAGTTTTGAAGAGTATCATTAGGTTAGGTTCATTTGATCATATTGCATATTTTCATAATTTTATTTAATTGTTTGAATGACCTGCAATGACAATTTGTTATAATCTGATCCTTTTTTGAGCTTCTTTTTCTCATTATACTTTTACTTGCATGACTGAATTTTCTTTGACTATTTTTTCCTGTTTACCTAATACTTAAGTCACAGTTTTATGTGCCTGCCAGACTATTCTTGCCCCTGTCTGACTCTCCCTGCACTGCTCTCTCTTTTATACTCTCTTGTAGAAGTTTCGTAGTCGAGTGGTTTAAGGTCGTTGTCCTTTGGCAAGGCATTAATCTTCATTTGCCACACTCGACCCAGGTGAGATAAGTGGGTACCTGGCAGGAATCAATTCATTGAAATGCTGCAGCGCTGTAATGGCAGCTATGCTGAAGCCGGGGTAATAATTAGTGCACCTCGGAATAGAATTTCTAGACAGACGGCACTATACAAATGCCTATTATTATTATTTATTATGATACAGGTACGCTGTGTTCAACTTCGATGGATCGTTGGCTGAGCTGAAGGGCTTTGAGGTGAAGCGGAACGGAGAGCTTCAGCTGATCAAAATCTTCCAAGCCTCTGTCTTTGAAGCATTCCTGAAAGGCACGACCCTGGAGGAGTGCTACGCTGCTGTTGCCAAGATTGCTGACTACTGGCTGGATGTTCTCTATAGCAAGGTGCGAAACAAATCTGTGATAATGCTCATTTTTTAAGTACAGTCAAACCTGCTTTAGTGACCACCTGTATAAAAAGACCACATTTTTTCCTCCTTGAAAATGGTTTCTCATTGAAACATGTACTAAAGGAACCTGTACATAAAGACCACCTGCCTATAAAGACCGCTTCTCCCTTGGGTGGTCTTTATAGACAGGTTTCACTGTATATGAAATAAAAATAAGAAAATATCTGACAAAAGACTTTTTCTTTTGATAGGTCTGTACAACGGGGTACTCAAAGTATGCAGTTATCTTTTTTTGTAACAGTAATATATACATGATTCACGAGCTACTTTTTGCTTCCAAAGTTTTCTCAACATCATCCACCCCAACGTTTATATACATTTCTAGAAAAATGCATCATAAATTTTTGCCTCGTTGCAGTCCAAGCATTGCCTCAATTTCAATAGTTTCAAGGTTATAAGTCTGTTTACTTTATCTTTTCATAACAAGTGTGACAAGGAAAAAATATGACAGCATTTCTTTTGTCACCCTTCTTTGAGGCATATAACGATTTATTGTTTGATGCTAATATTATCAAGTTTGGAAAATTAGGGGCATCCATTGAGAAAATTTAATTGCCCATTGCCATTTAGCGTTTACCATTGTCCCTGTTATCTTTTGTGTTATTTGTCTCCCTCTGTAGGCTGTGGACATGCCAGACTGTGAGCTGTTTCATTTGATCTCTGAGAATCGCAGCATGTCTCGTAAGCTTGAGGACTATGGCGAACAGAAATCCACGTCCATCAGTACTGCAAAGAGACTTGCAGAGGTAAGAAAGTAGTATGAATAGAATCATTGCTGGTATTGAAAGAATACAGGATAGATGGCAAGATTCACTCAAAGATACTCTGTACATAGATGGATATATGGAAAGAAGAAAGAAACAAACTAAATCATGCTTAAGGTCTATCTGCACTAGTTTGGCCAGGAGGGATTGGACCTCCCTGCATGGTCACTGACAGGTGGTTATCTCATCAGATCGGCTCTCAATTAACATAAGAAAAAGAAAAAAATGGGGGACCAACGGTCACCAATTAGGCATTGTTTTCTACATAGAGGGAGCTACAAGTAGTACAGTGGGCCTTTAACACAAAATTGTTATCTTGAATTTTTATTGATAGTTCCTTGGTGATCAGATGGTGAAGGACAAGGGCTTGGCCTGCAAGTTTGTCATCGCTAAGAAACCAGACGGCGCCCCGGTCACCGAGCGGGCCATCCCCATGGCGATCTTCCAGGCTGAGCCGAGCATCAAGAAGCACTACCTCAAGAAATGGCTCAAGTTCCAGACCATGACGGACTTTGACATCAGAACAGTGAGTGTTCAAGGAGAATTGTTTGATATAGGGGGTGTTTCACAAAGACTTAAGATCGATATAAGTTGGACTAGAACTATGGCAGGCCATTCAAGCCACTGGTTGCTCTCACCATTGGTCTCTCAAATATGATCTTTAGATAATATTTTTTCCTTCAATAATGAACTATCACAAAATGTTAATTCTGTAGATTTGTGACCACAATTTGTACGTCCCTTGGGAAACTAATGCCAGGAATGGTTAGAGGAACCAGTGGCATGAAAGGCCTGCCATAGTTCAAGTCCAACTTACATGTAAGTCAATCTTAGTCTTTGTGAAACACCCCCATGATCTCGGTCCAGATTAAACATGCCCAACAAATGGAATCCTATGAACTATTTACTACTAGTGGATGCAGACTTCTTTTCCTCAGATTGTTGAATACTTGGTGAAAGTTGGTTGAATATTATTGAGAAAAAGATGAATCCCAAAGCTATAAATCTGAGAATTTCCTCTCTCTTACTCTTACTTGCTCCTAATAATTTTGTGCCAAAGTACTGTACACCAGACAAGAACTTTAAGAATTGAACAGCAGTATACAGAGATGCCAACCAGTACGATTTCATTGTATTTACTATGATAATAAGAGTGAAATACGTCAAAACGATATCGCCTCTTAAAATATTATTTTTCATCTTTTCCAAAAAAAACTGAATGGCATAGAAACATGTACAAATAAACCGCTGCAACCCCGACACAATCTATGCTTTACAATTTTCTCATTGAATGTTAATAAAAGAGCTAACATTTTATTTGACCGTTCTTACCGTTAAAACATTTTCTGACATTTTACTGGCCCGGGGCAGTGATAGAAAATCTGATTTTTAGGATATTCAGTCTGTTTTTTGTGTGTCAAGAAGTTGGCATCTCTGAGTATTGAGGATGAGATAAGCATTCAATTATAACTGTTTATGTCGAGAAATTTGTAGGAATGCGAGAGAAACATGAATTTGTATCGTCATATTTTTGTTATTATATCATCTTTGTAGATTCTTGACTGGAACTACTACATTGAGCGCCTGGGTAGCACTATTTCGAAGATCATTACCATCCCTGCTGCACTTCAACAGGTTTGTGACTCTCTTCACCCAGGAGTAGGGCTTGTTCGTTATAACCCTATGTTAACTGGGGGGGGGGGGGGTCAATTTGACCCCCCCCTGTAGAAATTTCGTGACTACTCCGAAACCGCGGCAGATATAAAATTTTCCTTTCATGACTTTTTACTTTTGAGTCTTACGCATCTTTTAAAATAATTTTTTCGAAAATCGGACCTACGGTTACAAGGTCACGTGACCTTTTGTCTTTGCATGTCAGCCCGAAAATCGCTCATTTTCGTGATTTGTGTACAAAACATATGTAAAAGTCATTTTTCCTAAAAATAGATAAAACATTGGTAATTCAGTCTTGTTTAAAGTTTAGATGTTTGTTTTGGGGTCAAAATAGTTGAATTGTAGTTATAAATGAAATAAAACAACAAAAACAATAAAATACATAAGTTAAAAAAACAATGAAATACATAAGAAATTATAAAAACAAGAGATAACATAAGGAATAACCTGGCTCTTCCAATTTTTAGTGTTGTATTATTATTCCAAATGGTCTAATAAATATATTTAGTGAAAAAGAATAGGTAAACATGAATAATCTATGATTTATGGGCAGAAATGTGAAAACACTTCACTTGACATGCATGCAAATTTTCGCGGCGATCGGCGTTGAAACGGCCGAGATCTTAGGGGGGGGGGGGGGTCAAATTGACCTCTCCCCAGTAAAAACCTGGTCTGAAATAGCCCAGTTAAAATAGGGTTAAGCCATAAAGGGGGGGGGGGGGGTGGGTTTCAGCAGCTTGTATCTGTACATGTATGTTCATTCAGTTTTAAGGCTGTTACGCTCACTTTTCATTTACATTTTAAACATGACCTGTTTCTGTGTGGGTTTTTTTTTTGCTGCATACATTATTTTTTTAGTGATTATTACAAAATTTGTTGCTATTGTCACATATTTTGATATATATCTTCGAACAGGTTTTATACATGTTGGATCGAGAGGGTACTAGCCAAGCACGTATTTTCTTTTATCGATATGATCAAATTAGTATTCTTATATGACTTTGGTTTGAAGGTAGCTAACCCAGTCCCACGTGTAGCCCATCCTGAATGGCTCCACAAGAAGCTCTGTGAGAAGAATGATGTCTTCAAGCAACAGAAGATCAGCGAGATGTTCGTCAGGAAACCAAAAACTGTGGTAAGTCTTAGATCTGCCTTTTGTTCTTTCGTTTAATCAGGTTTTACTACTCTTGCAAAATTGCTCAACCTCAATTTTCTACACAAACCAAATTCTTAACTTTGACTCTGTACCTATTAAACACTATACCTAACCCAAAACCCAGTTTGTAACCCTAAACCTAAACCTGTAGGGTACTGTTTAAGTGTTTGATTGAATTCACCATCCTTTTTCCAAAACTCAATACTATCTATGGCACAGGAACAAGAACCAGAACCAAGTCTCGACATGGAACCAGAAAGCCAGCCAGACATCGTCGACATGGAGGACTTCGGAGCGCCCTCTGGAGGCAAGAAGAAGTCGACCAAGGTTGCCGTGGCAACCAAGAGGAAGAGAGACGACGCAGGAAGCAGATCAGCTCGTGTCGAGAGCAGCGCAGCCTTGACGGAATCCTGGGAGGATGTTCTAGGACCAGCTCCAGGAATGGGCAGAAAGAGGGTTAGATTCAAGCAATGTTACTTCTTCACAAAACATTGATAGAATAGAATAGAAATGGTTAATTTAAAGCCCCACTGTCCTACTTGTAGCTACTTGCTCCCTCTATATAGAAAACTTTCCCAATCGGTGCCTGTTGGTCCCCCATGATCCTCTTTTTCTTATGTTAGTTGAGAGCTGAGTTAATGAGATAGCCACCTGTCAGTGACCTCACTGTGGGGTCTAATCCCTTCTGGCCCAGTAGTATTGACGGTCTTTAAAAGATCATCGCAGCCAAGGGCTGAATTGCGATCCATTTTACAAAGATTCAATACAATTACAATTCAAATTAAAATAACACAAAATATGACATAAATAAACAATCAAACATATAGACATTTCATAAAAATTCATTCATTTAAATTTGTTTAAGAAAGAGAAAGGGAGAAGTGTAGGAGAAGGAGAGTTAGAGTGATGAGAAAGAGAAAGAAAGAGAAAGAAAGAGAGAAAGAAAGAAAGAGAGAGACATAGAGAGACAGAGAGAGAGAGAGAGAGAGACAAAGGGAGTTCTTATATTGCAGATGAGGGGAGATGGCAAGAAACATTCAGACATGATGGGTTAATTTGTTAATTGCTTATTTATGCTAATTGCTAGGAAAGCAAGTCTGTATTTTTGATTTTCAGAGGCCTAGGGCATAATTTTTTTTCAAAGAGACTAATGCTGATAATTTTGATGGAAGGCCCACTCCAAGGGTATCAGTTTTATACTGCTATGGTATTGAATGCATCTTTCATAATTTCTAAGACCATCTCAATATTATTCGCTTGAATAAGTCTTTGCATATTGTATCGGTGAACTGGTCATTAATAACATTTCCTAGAAATTGTGCTAAACTATCGGTATGCTGGCAGTTATAAGCAACACATAATATCTTTGATCAGTACTTGTCAGTTTTAATGTCTTACATATGTTGTTCAGCAAGGAACATTGTATTATGTGTAAAAATCAATGCATCATGTATTAATTGACTGGGATGTTTGTGGGGCCATCTTTGTCAATTGTGGGTCGGTCCTGAAACGGTTCAGAAATTAGCTATTGCAGGGTGCGGAAAGGACTATGAAAATTTCTCTCTTGATTCTCTCAATTCCTCTTTTCTTTCTCTCTGATTTATCCAGAAAACGATCAAAAAGTGGGTGGAGTACCAAAAGCAGAAATGGGCCCTGCAGGCGAGGCAGAGGAAAGAGCGGAAACGGCGTCGCCTTGACGATGGGATGGATGCCGGTGTAGGGGGTGTTGTACGAGCCGGTGCCAGCACGGGACTCGGAAGCTTCTTCCGACGGACGGCAAAGACGATGCTGGACTCACCTTGGCAGATCATTCAGGTTAGAATGATGTCTTTAAATTTTTAGTTCTGAGATCAATCGTACTGTTTGTTAAAATTGTTGACAGTCAGCTTAAAGAGAAGGTTGAGTTCTAGGGAGAGGTGAACAATTATTTGTGACCATTATCATTGTTATTATGCAAGTGTGGAAGAACATCAGAGTAAAAAGATGACTCCAGAATCTCACACAACTGATTCATGAAAATGTATTTCTAGTGAAAGCCGTAATGGAGCGTTGTAAGAAAGTTGCAATTAATTGCAAATCCCCCAAATCAAGGGTAAGTCTTGCGATTAAACTGATCGCAACTCAACTTTCTTGTCACGCCCAATTAGTTGAGAGAGAGACACAGAGAGAGAGCGAGAATAAAAGCTAGATTTTGTTAACTTAATTTAATTGTTAAAACTTTAATCCTAACAAAATCCTAGGAAATTTAGGAGTCTAGTGGGGCGTTGCAAAAAAGTTGAGTTGCAATCGATTGCAAATATCAGTTGCAAATTTTGCAACTTGCAATCAATCGCAACTTACAATCAATAGCAATTTTCTTGCAACGCCCCGTTAGTGTTGTGCCATAAAACATAACATTTATGAAGTTTAACCGTGAATGGCTTTGTAATGTGTTGTGTAGATCATGGAGACTGGTCATCCAGGGCTGTTCAAGCTGTGGGCTCTCATTGGTTCTGATCTTCACAACATCAAGCTGATGGTTCCTAGAGTCTTCTATGTCAACCAACGGACTCCTAAAGAGAACATAGAGGGTGCAAGTAAGTCCCTGATGGTGGTGTTGGTTGTGGTGATGATGATGGTGGTGATGATGATTGTGGTGATGGTGATGATGATGGTGATGTTGGTGGTGATGATGGTGATGATGATGGTAGTAGTGGTGGTGATGGTGATGATGATGATGTTGGTTCTGATCTTCATCACATCAAACTCATGGTTCCTAGAGTCTTCTATGTCAACCAACGGACTCCCAAAGAGAACATAGAGGGTGCAAGTAAGTCCCTGATGGTGGTGTTGGTGGTGGTGATGATGATGATGATGATGGTGTTGGTGATGATGATTTTGGTTCCGATCTTCACCACATCAAACTCATGGTTCCTAGAGTCTTCTATGAGGCTGTTCACACCGGCAGAGATAGCGCGCTAGACCGCGCTACCTATTGGAAGGTACAACGTCGTTTCGGTCCGCCCAACAGCGAGCCACGGCGAGCCAAAACGGCGTGCCACTGGAGCACCTCTTGGGGGTGGTCCACGAGAGATAGCGCGGTCTAGCGCGTGCTAGAAAAAAGGGGGTGCTACATTGCGGTGTGAACAGCCTCTATGTCAACCAACGGACTCCTAAAAAGAACATAGAGGGTGCAAGTAAGTCCCTCCCTGATGGTGGCGTTGGTGATGATAGTTATTAAGGAGATGATTATGATGGTGATGTTGGTGGTGATGTTGGTGGTGATGATGATGATTATTGTGATTATAGTGGTGATGGGGATGATTGTGATGATGATGATTGTGATGATGATGATGGTGATGGTGATGGTGATAAATGATGGTGATGGTGATAAATGATGGTAGTGATGATAATGATGACATGATGGTAATGAGGATGATGGTGATGATTATGATGTTGGTGATGATGATGATTGCAATGATGATGATGGTGAAATCAAGGATGGTGATGATGATGATTATGGTGATGAAAGTGATGATGATGGTAGTGGTGATGGTGATGATGTTGGTGGTAGTGGTGATGATGGTGATGATTATGATGTTGGTGATGATGATGATGGTGATGATAATGGTGATGATGATGAGGATGAGGATGATGATGATGATGATGATGATGGTGATGATGGTAGTAGTGGTGGTGATGATGATGATGATGACAAGATGGTGGTAATGAGGATGAAATTTGTATTGACTGATGATAATTGTATTCACATATTTACTGACCATCTTCCAAATTTAATTGTCTGCTGTCTAGTGTGGAAGAAAGTGACAAGAACCTTGCCCAGATCCAATCCAGTCCTGAATCTCTACCAATACACCGTACCAGAAGAGCTGTACCAACAACACGCCAAGTAAGCTTTTCTTTTGTGGAATTCTACCAAAAGAAAATGGAAAAAATGACATTCTTTTGGCTTGAATAGATTCAATTTTACAGTTGTGCATTTATTTTTGTTTTGAATCATATGACTTAAGTTTTTAGTATCTACTCTGTTGTCAAGTTTGCCAGCATCTGTTAATTCTAGCACATGTCTTTCATTGTGATGTAGGTGGACTTGTACTAGCAATCATTACCGTTTTGTGAATTAATGCCCTGATTCCCATGTATATACTTTAAACAACAGAATTATTCATACCCCCTGTAAATTTGTTGAATATTTGTAAGTGTAAGCTATTATATGCCACATTCTCAAGACACAGTAATCGGGATAAATCAATTTATAGCATGACGAGACCGAAGCGTGAGGAGAACTTTGGTCTGTTTCGCGAACGCTAGTGCCCGCTGACCATGTAAAGTTTCAGTTGCAGACTACTGTTTATTAAGTCCAATCGTTTATGTACAGTTGTCCAAAAGAAGACGTAGATGGCGGTAGCCAGTATTTGCCAAGCTACACTCCCTTTAACATCTGTTGTCTTTCTTCACAGTGAACTGACAGCAGATCTAGCGGCTCCTGACATCGAGGGGGTCTATGAGACCCAGGTTCCTCTGGAGTTCAGAGCCCTGATGAAGCTCGGATGCGTGTGTATGGTCAACAGACAGCATGCTAAGTTCCTACTAGGAGGGGTGAGTACTCACGGTGGTGGTGGTGGTGGTGGTGGTGGTGGTGGTGGTGGCAGCGGCGGCGGTGGCGGCGGCGGTAGTAATGGTGACAATAGAGCGCTTTAGCAAACACGACGGAAGCAAAGATGACGGGAGGATTCACTAAACTGAGATCAATTAATTTATGCAGTTCCGATTCTGTCTATTGAAATACTATTATTCTTATCAAGTGAATAAAAAATGATTTGTATTGAGGCACTTTACAAAGACTTATGCATTAAATTTGGTTACATTACGAAAATGGTACGAAATGGTATGGCGATACAGCTCTTCAGTTGTGTTTAGGGAACAGACGCTATTATGGCCGAGAATGGTCGGGAAAATCAACAAGACGGAGAAATTCTGGTTCGTGCATGCGCAGATTGATTGTTTCGCTTGGTTACCCTCATCCTCGCCTTTCGTCTTGTTTGCAAAAGCGCTTTATTGATAGTGGCAGTGGGGGTAGAGGTGACGGTAATGAGGATGTTTATGATGATAACAATTTTGATGATGATGTTGATTTTGATGAAGATGATGGTGATGGTGTTCATGATGATGAAAACGATGATGACGATTAGAGTATTTGGGCCCCAAAGAAATTTGGATATGTGTGAATAGTTGACTGGGCCAGGTTCCTTATGGGAGGGGTGAGTCTAGATAGGAGATATGATGTTGATGATGATTGTGGTGGTGGTGGTGAGGGTGGTGGTAATTGATGGTGATGAGGATGATATTGATGATGATGGCAATGATGGTGTTGATGGTCATTCAAGCTTTATAGGAGCATTGTTGTGTGTGCATGTTGAAAGGTGGCCTGCCAAGCTCCTCAGGTCTGATAAAAACCCAATTTAAATCGGTTCCCCAATTTTTAATTTTTTTTTTCCAATTTTTTTTCTTCCCGATTGAAAAAAGAAGAAAAAAAGCCACTATCACCCCTGGCTCCTACTGAGGGATAATTAAAAGTGTTATCTATTGTGCCTAACATGTAAACATAAATATTCCAGCCATGGCTGTCTTTCATTTAAAATTCATTTATATTTGTATGAACCATGTTTGTGCTATAATAAAAAACATTTTTGAATTGAATTTAATAAGTCCGGATGAGAGTGATTATTTTATTATACTATGCAGTTGTTAATCCACCAATTGTAATTTAACGTTGTTGTTGTTTTTACTGTGTTTCTCTTCCAGGATATGGATACCTTTGACCTCAGCCAGCTTGAGTTCAAGACCTTAGCTCAGTTCCAGTACCTCCCTGCTGGGAGCCTCAGGAGGGTCTACTTCTACCAAAACATTGTGTGAGTAACCCTTGAACTTTGACCCATTCCTAATAGTGTGAAACAGGCAAGATTGCAATGTTTCCAAGGTACCGGTAAAATAATGTTTTGTAGGTAACCTTTGAACTTTGAACTATTTCTTACCTTTCAAAACTTGTCCAAACTACATTGTAACTTTACCGCAACATTGTGTGCTTAACCTTTGAACTTTGACCTATAATGCAAACTGAGCTAGCTCTACTTTAGTGTCATGTGAGTATTAAACTGCCATCATGTAAGAATAAGAAGTAGACAAGTCTATCCACAATGACAGGATTATACCTCTTATGCTTTGCTTATTTTACTTCAATATAACTACTCCTGATATCCAAAATGATTGCCCCTAAACTTTACCTTTGGAAATTTGTAGAGGCTCCAAGTGCATGATGGGATTGTTCTTCTCGACATCCGCCAAGGCCACAGTCATCGCCGTGGATACGGTCAGGACCAATCAGATGCCCAACCTCAACTCCATGTACCAGCATGAACGGCAAGCCAAGTAAGTACCCTTTTAATCCTTCAACTTCAGTAGGCTGTTCAAACTGCCAAAATTGTTATCAAGAAGTGATTAACTTGGGACAAATAAAGGCTTGTGCTTCTTCTAGATTTTGATAATGGAGCCCTGTAGTGTTTTGATAAAAATCTGGGTATCAATCAATACCACATGGAATATAAATTATAACTGGTTGTCTGATTTATTCATATCTTTCATAAAGAAATATCCCTATGCTTTCAATCTGAAAATAAATGAAAATTATCTTCTTTTATGCGATGCACAAACTGCTGTACAGTATTTGCATATTTTCAAATTATACATGTAAGGGCTCATTCTAAACCGTCTCGAAAAAGAAAGAAAAAAAAATTGCAAATTTGTTTTTCTTGTGTAAATGCAAAGCAACTGTAAAAAGGTCCTGTGCGTATTCACAGAGCTCCGTGTTACGAGATACAGAAATGTGACACATATATCACTTTACGTCATCATACAATAACTGCCAAGGTTTTACTGAACAATGCTTAAAGGACATATTCATTTCACTTTTCATGCTACAGAGACATATAAGTCATTTTTTTTAAACATGATTTCTTTTACTACCAGGGCTGAGCGCAGTAGCGAGAATGAACTCCTTCCTCGGGAGGACCATACCTTTGAGATCGTGGTGGAGAAGGACATGAAAAAGGTAACCAGTCTTCACAGTCTCATACATTACAAACGCCTGACAAAATCATTTATTTTGTGTTATGGCACCCTTTTGGCTCCAGAATATTATATGAGAGATTCCTATTATTAGAAGCACATGTACCAGAAATTCTTTCGGCCAGGGTTAGATATACAGTCAAACCTGCCTTAGTGACCACCTGTCTTCAAAGACCACATTTTTTGTTGCTGTTGAAAATGGTTTCTCATTGAAACATGTACTACAGGAACCTGTCTACAAAGACCACCTGTCCGCAAAGACCACTCATTGTGTTTCCATGGCCGGTCGCTATAGACAGGTTTGACTGTACTCATATTGAGTACAATGGTAACATGTCTACCACTCTATAATGCCAGCCCCCATTTACAGCATTGAGATCACGATGCACATGCACTTATGGCTTTGTCTTTTTTATTTGTTGTTTAGGCATACCGTACCATTCATCGACTGCTACTGGCCTACAAGGACGAGAAGCGAGGACCGACTTTCATCTCTGTCCAGTCTACATTAAGTAAGTCACTCTTTTTAGGTGGTCTGTCGTTTTCGACAGATCACCTATTGTTTTCGTCAGAATTTTCTTTCTTTATTTATTTATTTATTATTATTATTATTATTATTATTTATTTTTATTTCTCCCCGTTTTTTGTTCATCGGTTAACTCAAGATCGGTTGTGTTAATTTCTTTCAATTTTGACACAGTCATAGGTCATTGTCATGAGACGTGACAGTAACCTTTTCAAGGTCATCAACTCATCGTGACATCATCCAGGCGCCATTTTGTGAAATCACGTTATCCATCATATCTTCATGATGCATAAGCAAAGGTCATTCATATTCATATCACATATACTTCAGGTCAAGGGTCAACAAGTCATGTCATCAAAGGTCACATAAAGGTCATGACGCGCACGTACGCGCGCGTCAAAATTTTAAATTGCTCAAAATCACTTAACTATTAAACGAGAGTACGAATCAGGTCATTGTAAGCATTTCAAAATTTTCCGTCCGTAAGTGTCCCCGCGCGCGTTGCGAGCGCTCACAACGCGCGGAAATGGTCAAATTCAAATTGTTTACATGATTTAGATTCCTCTTACCGTAAATGACAATTTACATAAATTTCAGTCACTCTTGACCTTTCATAAGGCCGTGAGCGCGCGTCAAAGTTCAAAATCTGCGCGTGCTGCTATGGGCAATATAATGCAAATTTGATCAAAAACATGCCATTTTAAAAATCAAAATAGCTCTTCAGATAGTCCATCGACCCCCAATTTTTATATCATGGTTGGAGAAAGCATGAGTTGGAGATATGATTTCATACCACCCTGACTCGTACAAAGTGAAATAAAGTCATCATATTGGCATCTAAACTCAAACAAATGTATTTTGTTGATGACGTCATTTTTGTCTTTGTTTATTTGAAATTATCTCACTTATCGGTCATCGATCTTCTCCCAGATTTTGATATGTTGGAGCTGAGATAATTTTCTATCAAAAATATGCCATTTATTTTCATTTAGATGACGTCATCATAGTTAAATATTCGATTAAAGGCGACAATGCATAATTTGTCATATTTGCGTGTTATGTCTATGGGAGGTCACTTTTTTCAAAACCTGAATCTGCATGACAATGTGTTTTGACCAGTATCTCGGTTATTATTCAACAGTTTTCTCCCAAATTTTAGTATGTTGTAGCTGAGACTATTTGCTATCTAACTATTTCCTCATTTTTTCAATCAGATGTCAGGATCATGCTCATGCTCATCATCATCATCATCATCAATATCATCATCATCATCAATGTCACCATCATCATCATCATCGTCTGAAGATGATCATCATCAACATCATCATGATCATGATCATTATCATCATCATTAACATTATCGTTTTTATCGTCATTTAACATTATCATCATCATCACCTTTACTATCATGATCATCATCATGTTCATCATGTTCATCATGATCATCATTGTTTACATGTCTTTATAACTTCTCCCATTCTCAAATCTATCATAAGACTTAGACAGACCACCTTATTCGTCTTCGTGACGAATTAAATTCTAGTATTTTAATTGAATTTGTACAAAAACACAATTCAATTAAAATAAATTTGTGACCACTATTTTGTGTGCACGATTACTCAAAATTGAACCGTCCAATTTCTTTCAAATTTGACACAGTTAGAGGTCATCTTTATAAGACGTGACAGGAACATTTTCAAGTTCATCAAAATATCGTGACGTCATCCAGGCGCCATGTTGTGAAGTACTCTGAAAATCAACTCATGATCATATCTTCATAACCGTAAATCATTTCTCATTCATATTTATAACGATTAAGGTTAATATCCGTCCGGTCAACTTGAGGTCAATAAACGCGCGCGTACGCGTCCGTCCGCGCGTAGGTGCGCGCAAAAATAAAAAATGCTCATAATCACTTTTTAATCAAATTAGAGTACGTTTTAGGCCATTTCAAGCATTTCAAAAATTTTGCGTGCGCACACCTTTGTGCGCGCATAAATTTGCGCGCACGTTTTTGTTCGTAATGATCGAACGCAAACTAAAATCATCATTTTTTGTCTATCATAGTATTGCCCATTTTTTTTCCGAACAATTTGATACCATGTTCATCTCTTTATGACCATTAATAACGAAATGAGGGCCCGTTCAAGGTAAATTTCTGTGCGTGCGAGCTCTTGTAATACATAGCATATAGGCGAAAACATGCCTATACGAAATACATTATAGCTCTTTAGGATGCAAGTTGACCCCACAATTTTTTGCGTGTCAAACTCGTGAGAAATAATCGAGCCAGTTGTTAAATAACATCGCGCACCAGCTGCTGGTGACAATGACAATGTATATTACGCATATAACAACATGCGCACCATGCACGAACTCTATTGTGACGTAACAATCAGACCCTTGGCACACTGTTTGCAGTGTATCGAAAATTCGTCAAGCACTTGATGCACAGTGCTTGTTTGACGATGTTTTTGCAACTTCTAATGCTAGGATATCCTGTGGAGTGTAGGCTACATAATTTATAAGATAGTAATTTATAATTTATAATTGATAAGATAGTATGAGATAGTAAGAGTTTCTTGTTTGCTCTAGATATCTGATGTGGTTAATATTAGTAATATTTACTGCCTAATTCAGGGCAATAAGACTTGCCATATATCACCCTCACCTTTGGTTCGGGCGATATATGTCGTATTGCCCAGAAGGCAGTCAATATAACTTAATTATGCATCATCATGATAATTGCTCAATATTTCGTTCATCAGTTCAGCTCATCAGTTAAGTTCAGTTCTTCAGTTCATCCGTTTAGCTCATCAATTCAGTTCATTTTACATCAGTTCAATTTATCAGTTCATCAGTTTATCAGTACTTCATTCATCAATTCATATCTTAATACATCATTTTACATTAACATAATTTCATGGGGTAATTGAATTGAAGATGAGCATGATCATAAGAATTGAAGACAGACCACCTAATTCGTCCCCATGACGAATTAAATTTCTAGTTATAAATAGTGTTATAATTTTTAGAATTCTTTGGTTAGAAAGGGAGAATTTAAACTCTAGGGTATAGCTTTAGCCTAAATTAATTCTCATGCAAGGTACAAATTACAGTCTCTGAGAAAGGAGTTATCGAACAGTGAATATGATGTTTATTTACAAGAAAAAATGAGGTGAGATCCAATATATGTACATTATTTACAAACTACAAACCTATTTACAGCTACATTTAACTCATAAAATACTGGTTCTTGCCCCTTGGAAGCTCTCAAGCATCATCTTCCCAGCACTACTATAAACAGGTCTGCCATTAACAACCTCAGTCCAAACTTTCTACACAATCAAAACCCCAGCCCAAATTGGGGCTGGTCTCCCAAGTCAGACCTCTCTTTTAAATTTGGGAACATCCAATTTCTGTAACAATGGGCTCAAATTTATAAAGGAGGTTATCTCAAAACAAGAAATGATTGATTGCTTGATTGATAAAATTGCGAACTGATCTATTGAATCCTCCCTTATCTCATACCAGGCAACCGAGAGCTTGCCAGAAGTATCCCTGCCATGGAAGACTTCCCCCTTGTGAAGCTCCACATCGCCGAGAGCGATAACATCTACAGCGTGCTGGACTGGCAGCGACAGGGCTCCCGTCGACTGCTACAGCACTACCTCAATGCAGACTACTTGCTACTGGTATGTTTTCCATTCATGGCTACCAACCATTCCTATTTTGGAGGAATGTTTTCTATCTTTTGGCTTTCAAGCTATTGTTTTGAAACTTAGATTCCTGTCTTTTTCTGATATATTCTGTCGGAGTATTACTTATGTTGCCTTGATAGCTTCATAATTTTTGCTGTGATAGGTTGACAGGTATGCAAACCTCCATAAAACCAATATCCTATTTATTCTGTGTGGTCTTTATTTCCAGATTTCACTGAGCTTACAAAACGCACAATGTCTAAAGCTCTTATCTTGTACTTATAATCAGAATGTTTCAGTAATTTTGGAAGAGATGTACCTTCCCCATGAATTTTCAAACAGAGAATCCAATATAAACAGTTTTGAAAGATCAAAATAATAGAGCAATGCGTTCACGCACTGTTTGATCTAGAAAGTTAATTTTCTGCACTCTTCACATATAACTGGTTTTGTTTTTTCCATTCCTCGTCTGTTTTCCATTGCAGAAAATCAATTTTTATGAGCAATTCTTTGTTAAGCATATATTTTTGTTTCTTGCGCATTTCAGAGCTACTTGGAGCAGAGCCGCTACTTCCACATTCCCGTCGGCAACCTCCCAGAGGATTCTGGGATAGCTGGTGCCGATCTCTTCTTCGCTCGTCATCTCAACAAGCACGGTCATGTGATGTGGGCGTCGCCCACCAACAGACCCGACCTGGGAGGCAAAGAGGCTGATGATAATAGGTGAGGAGTTTGTAATTTGTATTTGTTATGCCTCCACACCTGTAGGTGATGCCGGAGGCAATAACTTTTGTTGTTGTTGATAGGCTGTAAACCTTTCAAAAATATGACCTTACATATACATATATGACTGTTGAAAGCAGCTATTCTTGAAAAATCTCAATACTAACATTTCAGTTTACTATTTGCTTCTTCTATTCAACACGGTCACAAAGACTTAAGAAATCAACCATGTGGCAATTTTAGTAGCCTTGTGCATTACTTAATGAAATGTTCAATCATGTGCCCACATGTGATGTCTTTACATGAAATGCCCTGGATAATGTCAGTTAAAGATTATATCATTCATTTTTGTAATGAATATTTCATTAATACCACTGCTTTGGCTATTGAAACTGAAATGAACTTATATTTTGCTTCGCCTTCTAAGTCTCTTTCTCTTGGAGATTTTATCATCTGCAGCATTCTTGCTAATAATAACACTATGAAAATGCCTGATATTAAGGTTATTGTTGCTGCTGTTGTCATTATGTCACATATTTTCTTTTTTGTCATTTTTGAGTTAAACCACTCAGGTTGTTATCAGATTGTGTGTGTTGATCTATAAACAGATGAAGCATTGAAATCCACAGAATGTTTCTCTTGATGCTCTGATGCTACTTTTCTCTAAATCTCTATATCTTTGTGTTTAATCTTATCTAAATCTCTCTGTTTCTACCAGGTTGGTGACTGAGTTTGATGAGTCAGGAGGGGTAGAGCTAAACCACTCTGGTTGCTATCAGACTGTGTGTGTTGATCTTGACATGGCTAACCTAGCTGTCAACACTCTACTACAAGTAAGTTAAACATTCAGCTTTGATTTGCCTGCTCCATAGTAAAGACACATAGTAGTGGGCTATCATAGGCTATTTGGCACGAAGAATAAGATTGATTGTAAGATTGTAATTAATTGACTCTATCGACCCCCTCTCAGGTTATGAGAGTACAAACATGTTTACAACATAGTATCAATATAACAATAGTATATAACAATTATGATAAAAATGTATTAACCAAACGGTATTGTCAAACACAGGAGGGACCTTCACTTTTACGACCAACAGGTCTTATTTGAATGCCTTGCATTTTCCAGAAATTGCCCCATAAGGAAAAGTCATTTTCTTTCATTTCCCGCACCCAAAGACTCTCCCAGAGACTATGAGTATTACTTGCTGGGACACCCAGTTTACTGTGTGCGAGACTTGATTTACCCATTAATGGTATTTCCACCGAGTCCGGTGTCAACAAATTATGACCTGCGCATGGAAACTGCCTACTACATTTCCTTTCATTGAAGCCTGAGATAAGTTTGGATGGGTTTCGTAGAAATAGTGTTATCCCAATATGAAATAGTCACAATTCAAGATACATTGTATGTTGGGTAACTGTAATGCAATTTCAGTTTGAAAGAAATTGTGTTGTGGTTATGCAGTATTCCTTATGTCCATATATTAAGGAGTTGTTCAGATCAGATTAACTGAATGCAATATATAAATGTTGCTAAAAATTAACATTCATATAAAATACAACTTTCATGTAAAAAACATGCACACCAAAAAAAAAATGGGATGAGGAATAATTCATTTTTTCAAGAGTTCTAATACATGTCTACATATCGCCTTTGATGCGATCCATATCTATGTACAATAAAGTTTACCTGACCTTCTTTGTTGTTGAAATCTTTTAGGTTGTCATTGACATTGTCATTCACCTGCATGTTAATTGTCCTTCTATTTGCCTGTGTAGTCCCACCAGGTCAGTGAGCTTGAAGGTGCGGCCGGTAGCATTGCCTTTGATGCGATCCAGCAGACATCTCTGGAAGACATGGTATCCGGGCAACCAGGAGCGGCTGCATCACTGGCAAGCTATGATGAGACTGCTCTCTGCACTGTGGCTTTCAGGTGAGAAAAGCTTTCATCTTTACAATGCTCTTCAGTAATGGTAAATGTACATCAGACAACTATTGATGAACAGGTTATTTATTTGATACGTAATAGGACTGACTCTTATAAAAACCAATAAATTTGTATTTATCCCCCATTAATGTATCTAGTTCAGTGTACATGAACCTGTCGAGTATAATCCCCCTTCTGACATCTGCCTTCTCTTGCAATAATCATCACCTACCTAGGGGAAGTTTTTGTTCGGGAGGTAGTTGTTAGTTTGCAGGCAGGAACCATTGTCTGTCGCTGTGCATAACAGTGTCTGCACTGTGAGAGTTGGCTGACAGCATAGGCTCTGTAAGACTGACATAGCCAGGCTCTGCTCAAGGCTTTAGAAATCATGGATAATTAGATTTTTCACCTGCATACTAGTTAATGGTTTGGAGGGTGATGCATGTACTATTGGAAAATGGAAAAAAGTTTATCATGACCATCATCAGCGTGAGTGTCATCGTCATTGATCTGTAAAGCACTTAGAGATATGGTTGATCTATTTATAAGCGCTGTATAAGCTTTAAATATTATTATCATCATCGTAAGCATCGTCATCATTACAATCAACTCTAGCACTATAGCTATCATCATCAGCCAGGTTGCTTGAATGAACATCTATTGCTGCTAGATTCTCTAGATCTTCTGTAAACTATTCTCTGATTATTCCTTACAGGATAATGAAGACCATGGTTCATGGCTGGCTGAGGGATGTGACTACCTACCACAATGTCTTTGCTGATTACCAGATCATGCACTATTACAGGTCAGTGCGCAGCGTGTTTATTGTTGTCTACCTAGGATGTTCCTACACATGGTCATCTTTATGGGAAATGCATTATACCCCTGGCTAACTGCAAAACTGATTACGGATTGACTCAAAGCTGACCAAGATTTTGCCATTCATGGTAGTTTTTCTTTGATATAATCAATGTGACAGGGTTATTAGTGGATATGAAAAATTGACTGTGGTTGCTATGGTTTATGACAAATAATAAGGTTTAGGTTCGAATGTCATCGGTACTGACTGTGATGAAAATATCTTCACCAATTCCTTCCCCCCTTTTTCTTTTTAATGTTCCTGATTTTGGGAAGTAAAACTTCTTTACTTCAGAGACAGTTGTCAACAATGTATTGTACAACCAGAAACATCTGTTTGCCTGAAACTCTTCCAAATTCGAATGACTCAAATTTCTAAAAGTTTTCTGCCATGAAAATTGTTGAATCTTTTGCAATTTTCATGAATCCACTGTCTTTTACAATTTACAAGACTTTCAGCTTGCAACATTGTGTTGTTAACATTAATTTCCTTTTATAATGAAACATAACTGTTCTTCTTCGGCAGGTGGTTATGCTCGCCCTCGGCCCTCCTGTACGACCCCGCACTCCGACGCACCCTTAACGGTCTCATGAAGAAGCTCTTCTTGCAGCTCATGTCAGAGTTCAAACGTCTGGGTGCGGTCATCGTCCACGCCAACTACAACCAGATCGTCATCTGCACCAAGAAGACGCGCATCGTGGACGCGGTCACCTACGTCGACTACGTCACCAACACGATCAAGTCGAATGATCTCTTCCACGGGGTGGAGCTCTCGTACAAGCAGTGCTGGCAGCTTATCATGTGGCTGGATACAGTAAGTTCATCATCTTCCCAGGTTGCCTATTGATAGCCACAAATAATCCATGATATGTATGTACAGTCAAACCTGCCTATAGGGACCGCCCAAAGGAAACACAAAACATGGCCTTTGTAGACAGGTTCCTTAAGTACATGTTTCAATGGCCTGTCTGTTTGTCAAGATGTTTATGATTGGAAATCAAAACCAAATTTTGCGTTTTTACTAACGGTTTTCCTAACACTACAGTCTATGAGGGAAAATGAGTATGGTAAAACCGGTCACTCAAAAATTTGTACGTTTTGAGGCACTTCTTGATCATTTTGAAGCACAATTTTTTTAGGGCTTCAATATTACACCATATCACAGACACTGATAACATGTATGGCGGTGCATCTCAGATCTAACATTGTTAAACGATACCTTTAAACTTTATCTTTTGTTTTTGTTAAATCCTACAGGCCAACCATGGAGGTGTGAAGGGAAAGATACCAGAAGCTCTTGAAGGAGAGAACAGTGAGAATACAGAAGAGGATGATGTTGTCATGGCAACTCCACCAAATCAGAAGGATACTGAGGTGAGTGGCCAAGAAATGTTGCAATAATTTATATTGTACTCTTATATGGAGTGAGGAGGCACAAATATCAGCAGTGTTTTGACAACATATATTTTTTTTCCCTTCAAGTAGTATTATGAACCCTTTATTACTTGTGTTTTCTGAAAACATCTGTACAAAAGCATATGAAATACACTGTATTCCTAATTTTGGCTTTAGATTCCTAAATATTGCTGTGGGAGAACGGCATGCAACTACATTGTACATGTACATGTACATGTACGTGTGTCTATTCCTTTTTTTCTCTGACTTTTCTACAATTACGAGATACACTGTACTGTGCGTGAGCCAAACATTTCTTTACAACAATTGAAACTTCTCCAAGGGAGCCTAACATTCAAAGCTATTGTCCTAATGGCGGACTAATGGATATTAATAAGTCAGAATGAATCAGGAGAACTGAGGTGTTTGTTTCCATTTCATCGTGACTATGCCATGGACCAGTGGCCTGGTGGTAGAGTCACTGCCCGGCAAGCAGTAGGTGGCAGGTTCAAATCCCGCTGGTTCCAAGATTTTTCTTCACCCTATCTTAAACCCTATTCTTGTATTCAGATATGCACTAGAAATTGAAATAGTAGCTTTGACATGAAGCATGCCTGCCGAAGCTAACTACATGTAGTTTTCAGTTTGGGGAGAGATGGTTTTTGATAGATCGCCTGCTCACTAAGATACAGTGTACCTCATTTAAATTTGATATGATTACCATGTAGTGACATGACAATTGTTTAAAATTCATTTATTCATCCATCTAATTATCTCTTTGAATATTCATGCAGGAGGAGGTTGAGATGAACTGGAATTTAATGCACTATCTACCGACGGCAGAGAATTGCCAGACAACCTTCAATGTAAGTGAGAATTAGCTTGGTCCTCATTGCAAATTTCTCAAAATTACTTACTTGAATCAAAGTTGCATTTTTAATGAAATTGTTGCAAAACTTTAATTCAGAATGGTACATAGTTGTCATCATTCACAGAGAGAGAGAGAGAGAGAGAGAGCAAGAGCAAGAGGAATGATTGTTTAGTCTAAATATTCACAATTTCTTTCAAACACCCAATCAATAAGATTGGCACAATGACATATTATGGAAGGATAACAAATATGAAAGTACCACTAGTGGATTTTGTCAAAAGTAAAATAATTTACACCACTTGGTCCAATGACTTCGTTTTCATATTGTGAATCTCTCATCTATTTAAATCATATGGTTTGGTTGGTTTTATTTAAGATCATAATATATGAAATACAAACACCATAACACGTAAAGAAAAAACACTAAAATATTGATATGAATTATTCTAGGTTTTAAAGTTAAAATTAAAATGAAGACCAAGGGATCAACTTTCAGGGTCCCAGAATAACTTCAATAAATAGGAACTAACACTTCAACAAGCTCTGCTTCTAGTTAGTTCCTCTTATCTCGTGCTTTTTCTATTATATTTGTTGTTTCATTGCATATTTTTGTAATATAATTATTCATTGTATTATGTTTTGCATGAGAAATAAATTCATTTGAATCTTAAATTACATTATTTATGTTTATTCTACCCTACCTTGACTAGATGATCATTGCAGGCTACATCCTCGCCATTCACAAGCACATCCAGGAAGAACAGGACCGTGTCACGCCCGGCAACACGCCCATCCGTCGCCGTAACAACCAGAGCCAGACGCAGAAGACGCAGGGTGACCTGACCACGACCCCGAGCCTGGTCGGCTACTCACAGGGGCTGGTGGACGAAGAGCTCTCGCAAAGACTCTTTGCGTAAGTAGATGGTGATGTGATGTTATCCCGTTGATTACTGAATTTGATAAGACCCATAGGCTTAACACAGGGACCACCAGATTCACGTAAGCAAAGGGTTAAAGGAGTCAGGGGGGCGTTTCACAAAACTTGTTATCAGTTACAAATGACAGTTTTTGTTATAAGCTACTGAAATCCTTGCTTCTGATTGGTTATCAGCAGATTTGTCATTGATTTTTGTCATTTGTCATTGAAAAAAAGGCTTTGTGAAACGGGTCCCTGATCATAGGTCATATTCGCTGATACCAGACTTGGTGGAAATAACATTGATGGGTGTACAAGTCTTGCACACAGCAAACTTGTGGTCCCATCAAGAAATATCTACCTATTCTCTCGAAGTCCGGAGAGACGTCGGGTGAGGGAAATGAAAGATAATGACTTTTCCTTGAGGGACGATTGATGGAGATTGCAGAGAGTCACATAAGACCTGTATGCATAAAATTGAAGGCTTTTCCTGGTGATTGACAACACATGTTATTTGGTAAACAACCGAATGGTGTAAAATTCTCCATGAGAGCCCTGTGCTATGCCTCTTTAACAAGAACAAGAACTGAGATGATAAAGAAGAAGATGATAATGAGGAGAATATGAGAGAACAAGAATGGTGGTGGCCGTGATGGTGGTGATGATGATGATGATGATGATGAATTGAGATGATGATATAGAAGAAGATGATAATGGGAATATGAGGTAACACTTATGATGGTGCTAGTGGTGAAATGGTGATGATGGTGTCGCTGTTGGTTATGGTAGTGATGGTCGATGATGATGGAGATGATGGTGGAGGGAGGCTTATGATGATGATGAAAACGGTATTGACGACAATGATGAAGATCACAACTAGATGATGTTGATGATGATGACGACGGTGACGACTACAAAATGATAGTGAGATGAAGGGAATGGGAAGAGTTAATTGTGCTAATGACAAATGATAATTAATCTCTCTATTGTCATTGTGATTTCCAACACAATCGTACCAATTCCTAAGCAAGTTTAGATCTTTTGATTGCCAGTAATTTCACAAACGCGTTCCCTTCTTTCCTTCACACATCTTTGGTCTCTCTGGAAGCAGACATGTGCAGGTTTTGATGCTGACGATGGTCTAGTACTTAATTTATACTGGGAATCTCGCTCAACAAGCCTAGCTTTTCTGAGATTCCCTTTTTTCCCCTCTCAGTCAAATCAAGCAATAAAAATATTTTGTCTTATTCTCAAACTTAAATGTACTCTGTAAACTTATTTTATTACGTATATACTTATCAGTATTTTGTTACTCGTATAATTCATTTATTCCATTATACATTGTAACACTGTATGGTTTATGTTTGTCATTTTAATTTGTGGATATTTGAGTTGAAAAATAAATCAAATCAAATCAAATCAAATTCCTCCACAGGATCACCCAGGATATCCAGAAGAGACTGTCCGGATCGCGGCAGTCGCGTCTTGAACCATCCTCAGAGTTCCCTCGGCTCCCCGGGTCTTACCTACCTCTCAACAACCCATCGCTGGAGTTTGTGAAGGCCATTACAAAAGTAAGTAATCAGGACAGCGTCTCACGAAACCGTCAGAAGTACAAGTTCACAGACATTCCATTGAAATGTGTATTAAGTTTAACACGCGTTGCGATGGAAGTTGGTGAACTTGTACTTATGACGATTTCATGAAAAGCTGTCCAGAGGGTTTGAGTGAATGATTTGTTTTTATTTCATTGTGTCCATGGCTCTGCTTCAGAGTACACTGTGACTTTTATAAACCATTACATTCTGTCCAGATCTTTACGCTCTCTCAAAACTCCTGATTTCTTGTTCTTCCTAAGCTCAATTCAAAGCGGGATAAAGAACCTTTTTGGGTAAATTTCAGAACTAAAATGGTGAGGAAGGTACATGTACATGGACAATGAGCTTCTTGTCGGAACTTTCCCATTAATTTTCATATGGAAAAGCAATTTAATATTAGAGTTACTGATCAAAGATTAAAAGGTAGCTTTGGCCTACTCAAATATGAATTAAAAATATTTTGGTACTAGTCTTACAGTGCTCCAGGTATCTTTAGTCATACTTTAATTCCATTCAGTTTAATTCTTGTCTGCCTTTTGAATAAATCTTTACTTTCGATCTTGACATTGTTCCAGGTCCTCTCTCTGTGCCATTGTTATCTTTAGTCAAATTGTAATTCTAACCAGTTTGATTGTTGTCTGCCTTTTGCATAAATCTTTATTTTCAATCTTGACTTTGTTCCATCAGGTCCTCTCTCTGGACTCTAACATCGTCAGTCAAGTGAGCCGGATGAAACGCAACCTCCTGCGTCTAATCAGTGTCGGGGAGTTCTCAGACGACGCTGATTGGCGCGACCCCTGCCTCTCCTACATCCTGCCGGAGGTCATCTGTCGCTTCTGCAACCACTGTCGCGACCTCGACCTGTGTCGTGACCCCATGCTCATCCAAGATGGACAGTCAGCGTGAGTACTATCCAACTACATGTATTATACAGTCAAACCTGTCTATAGTGACTGCCCAAGGGAGACAAGAAAAGTGGTCTTTATAGGCAGGTGGTCTTTATGTACAGGTTCCTTTACTACATGTTTCTATGAGAACAAAGAAACCATTTTCAGGGGAAACAACAAATGTGCTCTTTCTATGCAGGTGTTCACTAAAGTAGGTTTGACTGTGTATATTAATCATTGTGAACAATTATCATTTAGTGCTTACGTGTGGTGTTATACCTTTAGTTTAGGTCAAACAAACGTTAACAAAACAGCAAAAACTTCATGAAAGCAACTACTGTGGAATTTGCCAACTTGGATATGCACGCGTGGGACATACATTGTAGTCCTGACTTTTCATGGCATGCTCTTTTCTTCTTACTGAGCTACTACACATAATTACTCTGCTTTAGATACACAGAATTACTATATAAGCAGGTGCTTTTTATTTGTATTTATGATTTTGTGGTGAAACAGTGTGTAGTTTTGTTTTGTGCTGTTTGAATATATTTTACTGATTGTGTCAGCCTGTTAAAGATAATCAGACAATTATTCACTGTTCCAATCTATTATAACCATATTGATAGCCGGCTCTGATTACAAACAAATCAGCACATGATCTGTTACAAATCTATTCATATCTCAGAGGAAATATTATTGCATGTACATATTTATATACATATTTATATTTTATATTTTACTATGAGCTTTAACAAATTTTTAATACATTTCATGTAATGTTTGATTTCAAATGTAATATTGTAATGATAATGTTATTAAATTGTAAAAAAAATCACACAATTCAGCCTGTGGGCTGTGAAATAATTTTGAATAAAACAAACCATTAACAGTATATTGATGCTAATATTCTGGATCTTAACATAACTCATGATTATATTTCAATACATATTCTGATATTTTCTTAATATGTTCTTACACCTATTGTAGGGTTCTGTGGCAGTGCATACAGTGCCAGAGCGAGTATGACGTGTCTGCCATTGAAGAGAGTCTTGTGGAGGCGTTGCAGAAGGCATCTATGGCTTACACACTCCAAGATCTCAGCTGCACAAAATGCCACCAGGTGGGTGTTCCTATAATTTTTTGCTTATTATTCAACAGATATTCATGTTGTTTCAGAATTGTTTTGCAGAATATGTATATATTTATCTATACATATAATATAGATATGTGGTGACTTTTTTGTCGGATTCTGTTTGTAATTTACCTATATCATTATCAAAGCACGATGTTATCTTCTAACTATATCATTACTATCATTATCTGTTGTATTGTATTCAAGATTCTTATCATGTGTTTTAAAGCACAGAATAATCTTACTCAATCTTATATGTTGGATCTAATTGATAAGCACAATTCAGTATGTATGCTTTGATCATCATCACAACACCTCCTTGCAGTACACTCTGTTAATATGCACACCTATGGAGACCGATCCTTTGTGGTTTCAGCTCTGTGGAATTCTCTGCCCTTGACAATCATGACTACATCTTCCCTTTATGGTTTTTAGAGAGCCTGAAAGACACACCTTTTCTTACAGTAGTGTAACAATTCTTGTCTTGATGTGTTGGTGTGCATGTCGTGGTGTTATTTGTCTTCTTATAAAACATGTTGATGTAGATTGTAAAGCATATTCTTTCAATGTAAAGCGCATAGAGAATTAATTATCAAATATTATGAGCTAAATACATTGAAAGTTATTAATGACATTTTCTGTTCACCCCTAGGTAAAGCTGAGTAACATGGCTAACTACTGCGAGTGTGCAGGACAGTTTGCTACCGTCATTACTCACGAGGCCTTCCTCAACAAGATGAAAACATTCAACAACATTGCTAGGTAAGCATCACCTGTATGTAGAGCTGTGCTCAATATCAGGGGTCTTCTGGTAAACTGAGGTCCCCAAACATCATTGCCCCCCCCCCCCCAGTTTTAAATTTCAAACAATGATCCCAAGCATATAGACCCTGTTGAGGTCCTCTAACTGTAATGCTTGGTTTGCTGGTTTGATTTGTTGGTTTGTATTACCAGACTGATGAGAAAGCCGTTGGTCCTCTGGTTGCTTACCTACAAGCATATAGAACATGCTTTCTTAGCAGTCAGGTAAAACAATTTGCTCCCAAACTTATATTTCTTTAATCTAAAATTACATCCCTGCAAGCTCTTTACCCTTATTCACTTTTGGTTCCCTTGTCATTCCTAAAGTTTCAAAAACTTGGGGGGGGGGGGGTGGGGATCCTTTGCTCACACATGTCCTACTTTATGGAATAGCCTTCCTGAAGACATCAAAAAGGGTATAACCACTGATTCCTTTAAAATCATGTAAAAACGCTTCTGTTTAATTCTTGATTATTTCTACATGCACCTTGAGCACTCCACAGAGTGGATTTGGTGATATCTAAGTTACATTTATTATTACTATTAACAAAGCATCAACCATCATTTTCTTTCAACAGGCACTACGACATGAAGCTCCTCCAGGAGACAGTCACCATGATCCTGCGTATGAACCCGGTGCACGATGTATCTACCAAGGGATGAGCAGCGCATTCATCAAGATGCATTGCACCACAGAATAAGCAAAGGGAACTCTCTCTGAACTTTAAAGCCACACTGTACTACTTGAAGCTACTTGCTCCCTCTGTATAGAAAACTTTCTTCAATCGGTGCCTGTTTGTCCCTCATGATCCTCTTTTGCTCGTGTTAATTGAGAGCGGAGTTGATGAGATGTTGATGACCTGTCACAGTGACCTCACTGGCTAGCTGGGTGGTCTAATCCCTTCTGGCTGAACTAGTACAGCCGGCCTTTAAAGAGAGTAGATGGTTGCATCCGTATGTTTGTATTTCCTCATTTCTCTGTTTGTACCACTGCTCTGGGCCGGCCAATAATTGCATGAGGTAGAGACAGTGTACCTAACTACCAATATAAACTTGTTTTTGGATCTGCAAAATAAGGAAAGAGAACTGTCTCTGAACTTTAAAGAGAGCGGATATCTGCATCCCTAAGTTTGTATTTCCACTCTCCTCTCTTTCTACCGTTGCACCGGCTCTGGGCTGGCCAATATATGCACGAAGGAGCTGCAGTGTACCTAACTACCAATATAGACCTGTTCCTGAACCTATGTATCTACCAATGGGATGAAGAAAGTTTTCTGGAAGGGGCATTGCACGACAAAAAAGGAAAGGGAACTCTTTCTGAACTTCAAAAGAAATGAATTGCTGCTTCTATATATTTCAACATTCCTGTTCAAGCAACAACACCTGCTCGGGCTGGCCAAGATAGTGGCACGAGGGGGTGGTTCATGTAAACACCATCTTAGACTTGCTAACTTAGACCAGTTTACTCTTTCGATGCCACACAAATAAATAATCTCCCTGTGCCTCGTTATACTTATCATGGGATAGATATACCAAGTACTTCTAGATTATTCAACTGTTTGAGCATTGTTTCTTTATCTTCAACTTAAGTACATGTGGTACATGAGTTGAAAAGTTGTTCTGGTATGTGATAATTGTGCCTTTTGAAGTTTTAAAATGTTGTGTATTTTAAGATCTATATTTTTTATGACCAATAAATAAAGTTTTGCTAAATGTGCAAATTATGAATGGATCAATAATCAGCCACTCACTGGAAACATCAGGTGCAAATGCATACATGTACGTCTATTTTTATCTACTGTTATTGTTATTATTAGTGTTTAGAGTTACCTGTGCCTGGGAGGCGAAAAACATTACTGAATCACTGTGACCTACTGGCCTCTCTTCCCTCCTGGGATCACTACACAATGTGATCTCCCAAATGTGATCTTAAATGTACCTAATTTGAATTCTGGCAAAATTCCCTATATTTCCAAACAATAAGCTGCAGAATGGTTCATGTTTTGTATGTCAAAGTTTGTTACTGGGTATTGTTATTTTGAATTGTCATATCTCAAAATTTATTATGATCATCAATATTAGTATAATTGGCAATACATGTCTTCCACATGACTTTCCTTCGCCGAGTTCTCATCCAATTTTTTGTGTGTAATGAAAGGATGATAAATATAAGAAGGTTGTGTATTGACAGTTTAAGAGGAGCTGGTATGTTTGTTGTATTTTTATATTTATGTACATATTAATGCATTATATTTTACGCCTACTTGTTGTTAAGTTGTTATTAGAGTGTACATGTATATGGATTGAAGAATATAATGTGAAAACAAATAGTAAAATGGCTACCTACATGTATTTCATTTCAGTAGAGCATGTTGAAAGGACTCTAGATACCAGATTTAGACAAAAGTAATGGGAAGAAAATGCTGATGATAGGCGAGCATATCTATATGAGAGAGAGGAAGAGGGAGAAAGAGAGAGAGAGAGAGAAGGGGGAGGAGATAAGAGAGAGAGAGGGGGAGAGAGAGATGAAGAAAAGGGGAGGAGAAAGAGAGGGGAGCATGAGAGAGAATAGGAGAGAGGGGGAATGACAGAAGGGGGAGGAGAAGGAGAGAGAGAAGGGGAAGAAGAAGGAGAGAGAGAGAGAGAGATAAACAAAAGGGAAATGAATCCCATAATACCAGGAAAAGGAGAGAAAGAGGAAGAGGAACAAGAAGGAGATCACACCATTTTTTATGGATCCGGATACTTTTAACAAACCCAAGGGGAGCATGTTTCACACTGTCCAAACATTTGGTTGATTAAGGATGAATCCGTGAACGAAAGTATTGTGCTTCCCCGACATACTTATCCACATGATATTTTAAGATGTACAATGAAGCTACTTGATTAAAAGATGTCCGTTAATTGATTGTAGGCATCTGGTAGTGTATCTCTCTCTCTCTCTCTGTCGCGCTCTCTCTGTCTACCTCTTTCTCTCTCTCTCTCACACACACCATCTCTCTGTATCTATTTACCTCTATCTCTCTTTCACTCCCTCTCTCTCTATCTATCTATCTCCCCCCCCCCCCTCATTACCCTCTCTCTCTATCTATCTATCTACCCCCCCCCTCATTATCCTCTCTCTCTGTCTCGCTCTCTCTGTCTGTCTCTTTCTCACACACACACACCATCTCTCTCTCTCTCTCTTCTCTTTGTATTTATTTACCTCTATCTCTTGCTCTCTCTCTCTCTCTCTATCACTCCCTCTCTCTCCCCTTCTCTCTCTCTCTGTCTCACTATCTCTCTCTGTCTACCTCTTTCTCTCTCTCTCTCTCTCTCTCTCTCTCTCTCACACACACGCACACACACACACACACACACACACACCATCTCTATGTATATATTTACCTCTATCTATCTCTCTTTCACTCCCTCTCCCTCTCTCTCTCTCTATCTATCTATCTCTCTTCCTTTTCTATTTTATCAAATCAAATAATAACCTTGATTTGAGAAATTGATATCATGATCATCCTTGATGGCCGGTACGGAGTGCATAAGCACAATGTCCGGGTACACCATGCATGTGGTTGGCGAGCAGTGGCGTATACCCTTTCACAGGGTGGATGGGGCGGGGGTGGGGGGGGGGGGGGGTAGCGGGGCATGTTCGGATGACGTAATATGTAATGTAATGTGTTTTTTTTTTTTATTGTTTTTCGATATCATCATTTAGTCTAATATAATTTATTTTTAAAGCGGTCTAGCTGCCCCTAAATGTATAGAACGAGGACTTTCCTTACGGGAGAATATTTTGAAGTAAGTTAGATTGGGTGCGGGTCCAAGATTTTGTAAATAGAAGGAGGGCTTTAAAAAAAAAAGAATAATCCCTCTTATTTTTGATCAGCAGCAACATCAACAACAACAACATCAAAATGATTTTAATAATCTTTTTTTTAATTAATCTTTTAAAGTCCTCTCCAAATTTTATTAAACCGAAAATGGAAATTCTTTTTGCCCATTCGATCGTGAGCCCGGCAGCCACTGAGCAGCGCCAGATCGACGTTGTTCTATCCTTTATTGTTGAGCGCCAAACAAGGTAGCAGCAACTCCCGTCTTTTAACGTCTTTTGGTATGACGCGGCCGGGGTTCGAACCCACGATCTCCCGGTTGTGAGGCGGACGCTCTACTGACTGAGCCAACATTATCAAATCGTAAGCGCATTTTGATGCATTTTTGTTAATACATTTCGAAAAAGGCAGAGAGACACAGGGGATAAGATTTTTGTTTTTAGCAGATGTTTCTGCATTCATTGAAAGATCCGACAAATACAAAACATTAAAGGTAAAGACCAGTTATGGTCATGCGATTGCATTGTGAAAGAAACGTTGTGGAATCGATCAGAAAAGGTTGATCATCTAGCATCTATAGCCTCTGCAAGGTTCTGGAATCATCAAAATGATAAGAAATTTGGCCCATTCTTCGTAAAGTTACAAGCACTATACACAGAAAGATGTATATGGGACTACCCTATATCTCTCACAGTCCATGAGAGAAACAAATTTACCAAATATATGAATTAGTAGGCGGTTTCCCGGCAAATTTTTTATCATCATGTATTAGTCAAAACATATTCTTTCACATGATTGGTAATGAGAGCTTCCATTTCATTTTTTGAAATTGGGGCGTTTCCAATACTGGTCTTTGCCTTTAAAATAACAATAATGGTATACTATACAATCGATTTACATAAAAATTGACGATTGAAATACAAACACACAAAATGCATATATATAATATAATCAGGGCCGTAGCCAGAGTTTGATGTTGGGGGTGGGGGGGGGGGGGGCACATACATGTAATTGATCGACGTCCTGGGGAGGGGTCTAAAAAAGTTCAACCGATCTTGGAAATTTTTGGCGGGAACGTGCCCCCCCCCCCCCCCGTGGCTACGGCCCTGTATGTAATTGAAATAAGTATGGAGGTAAGTCATAGTATCAAGATAAATGCAGAGCAAAGGCCAGCCTTCATAAGTTTTGTGTGTAGTTAATCTACGCTCGTGTTTTTCTCTTTCTAATCTGTGGGGGGGGGGGGGGGGGGCGGTGGGGGCGAGATAGTCTGGTTACGCCCCCCTTTAATCCGCCGGTAAGTCAAACAATGCCCTAGCTCATACAGCATCGGATACCAGGAGAGACCTACCGGTGACGTTTCCGGGTTTTGGACTTCCTTTTAAATGTGTCAAATTGAATCAATGGTTTGGAATGGGTTGTCAAAGCATCGCATAGGCCTACACATAACAGTGATCTCCAAGCTCCATTGTCTCTACAACTTCCCATAGTATATCGGTAAGTCTTGCATTTAAGCGGTGATATTGCATCGAAACGGTAGTAATATTATGTATATGTAGCCCTTTTAGGCATCATTCAAGCTAACTGTTGTTTATTATTACGTAAAATTCGATGTTTTATTTTTTATTTTACGGAGATCGTTTCTATTTCCTCATCGCTATACTTTTCTTTTATGTATTGTTTAACATGACCTGTCTGTTAAGTTTATTATTCGTAGTTACCCAATTATGTTTTCCTTTCTTTTGATTTGATTCGTTTATTTTGCATATGTTTATGTTTTGTTATCTTTTGTTACTAGTTTTTGTTTGTAATATAATATGTATATTTTTTATTCAGTTAACAAGGACTTTCTGAAAAAAAAACAGCCGTTTAGCCTGAGAGATTTACCGTGTTTAAATAAATAAATGAAATGAAATGAAATGAAAATAATATGCTAAGTGTTTCATTTGTTTAAATATTTTTTTTAGAGGAGCGGGGGGAGGGGGGGGGGGGTCATCATGGTCTGTACAAAAACTTACTAAACGTAAATATGTGCTATTTCGTTTTTCAGGAAAACAAACATGAAGTCGGGAATACTGCTTCTTCTGTCCGCACTCATGTGTGTGCTTGAACAAGGTAGGAATACAAACATTATCTTTCACTTGTGCCCGGTTCTCAATCGTACTTCCACTCTACTCGCTCATTATATATGTTTTGTGGTGATGGTGGTTATTTTACCTGACTGCTAAAAAAGCATAAATGCTTGTAAGTAAGCAACCAGACGACCGACGACTCTAGGTCCTCTCCGAGGGACCTGGTAATGAGGAGTAATGCCTTACCAAAGGGCACTAGCGCGTCGACTTGGTTTCGAACCCGGGTCACCGGATTACGATCGAGACCACTGCTCTACCGACTGAGCTATATTGGGAATCTGGCAAATCGGACACGATTATATTTTACTGTTTTTTCGTTTCTTTTATTAGGTTTCTTATCTTCTTCCTTTCTTTCTTTCTTGTGTTCATTCCTGTATGCATTTTCCTAATTTTTCTTCTCCGCAATAACTAAAGCAGATTCAGTTTGATCTTGGTTTGCCCGGCATGCAATGCGCATTTATTGACCCCAAGGTATACCGTGTGAGTCAAAAAAAAAATTACACCTAGATAATGGCTAATAATTTTATATCATATAAAATAATTAGCCATTAAGTGCTATAATGGCGCTTAATTCGAAATACCGTCTCTAAGCGCTTTACATAGCCTATCATTGTACCACATTACTTGTTCGTATCCGATTCTATACCACGTCCGGTAACATATCCGTTAGATTTAATGTATCTACCTATTCTCCCCAATAATTTTGCTGTGTAGTGTAATACCATTGTTATAATTGTGATATTGTTATATTGATTTTGTATTTTAATGTTTGCATTATTATGTAAGTATCTGATAATTTTGTAAAACAGAAAACATCACTTTTGAGCTGCATTCCATGCGCCTTGAGCACCTCTAGAGATGGATATGTTGCGCTTTATAAATATTGTTATTATTATTATTATTATTAAATAAAAAAAATCAATTCAATAATTTACGGATATCATTATACAAAGTTATTTATGACGGAGGTTATTGGATGCGTTGGCGGAAGTGTTTTCTTGAATCGGATTGAATTACATGTATATATGAATCACGTCGGATGTTGCTGTCTGAGTTAATTGTAACGTAAACACTATTGAACTTTTCATTCGGAAGTGAAATGTATAGTTTTATTATCCGACCCTCTCATAGCAATGATCCCTTTAAATACAGGTTGTTTGAGCACTAGAAAAGCAAAACAGTATTTTGTATTAACAGAGAGATTATCATATCACATATCATATCTCTTCTTCTTTTTATTCTCCCTCTTCTTCCTCCTCCTCCTCCTCCTCTTCTCTTCTTCTTCTTTTCTTCTTCTTTTTCTTCTTCTTTTCTTTCTTCTTCTTTTTTTCTTCTTCTTCTTCTTCTTCTTCTTCTTCTTCTTCTTCTTCTTCTTCTTTTTCTTCTTCTTCTTCTTCTTCTTCTTCTTCTTCTTCTTCTTCTTCTTCTTCTTCTTCTTCTTCCTCTTCCTCTTGTCTCCTGCTTGTTGTTGTTGTTGTTGTTGTTGTTGTTCTTCTTCTTCTTCTTCGTCTTCTTTTCTTTTTCTTCCTTTTTTCTCCTGCTGTTACTTTATTTAAACCATTGTGTTATATTTTATCAGCACGCCTACAGTTAGATAAAATATGACTAATTATGATTATATCGGGAGGAGGTTGGTGACATAAACATCACACACATAAGGTTTCATATAATCTTCAATTTAATGTCTTTTTTAAGCATGGATCTGTGTAATAGAAGATTGATCTCATTAAATAGATGAGTGACGTCATGATCCATCACAAGTATTCACTGCGTTGATCCGGCCTAAACGTTCTAACGCGGGTTCATGAAAATGTGTACAAAATATGATTCGTCTAGCTCAAATACGGGTGTTAAGAAACAACTTTTTTCTTTCTCATTACCAATAAGTTTGTACGTTATTTCATCTCATTCGTATGACCCTGTTACAACGTTACTGTAATATGACATTAATTTTTCAATAGCTTTTACCATTGTAAAGATATCGTTCAAAATTGACTGCGAAAAGTCTGTAGAACAAAAATTATCGATGGTTTCCTGAGTGGTTCGATGGAGAGGAATTGGCAAACTCTGGAAACTCTTGCCAGATGTCAAGGGCTGGGGCTATAGGGCTAGACGATTTGGCTTGAGAGTCAAAGTTGACATAACAGAGAACATATCGGACGGTATTGGACCAAGATGGAAAGGAGTCGAGTCCTCGCAGTTTGAGCGTCACTCTTCCTTCACACCACGATGAGAGCATCCTTCGTCCGGAGGCATCCTTTACAGACCAAGGGAAAGCAGCTTCTGCAATTGGCGGTTCACCCATCGAGCTAGGCTGAACTGCCTTCCCACGAACGCCGACTGCAAACCAAACATGTAGAAGATTCGACCATCAACTCGAGAATCTCCCCCACATCATTGACCATTGTCTCCCCCAACATGGTTGCCATACAAAGAAGACACGACCTGGTACATGATAGACTGGTCACAGCGATTTGAGACGGAGAAACCACGATCTTTACTGGAAAGCTGAAGAAAAAAATATCCAAAGTCAACTGATTAAGCGATTCGGTGATGAATAGTTTTCTTTCTAGAGTTTTAACGGTCATTTATATACGATATAAAAGCTTGCGAACAATTACTGTCACACTACAGTAGTGTTATTAAATGACCAGACAAATGAGATGAAATAAAATATAGATTTATTGTTCATAAGAATTATATTAATGATTAAAGAACAAAAGGTATGTTTTGAAACACCCGTATGACTTGTGCTACCCACGGAAACGTTTATACATTATTATTCATGACCCCTTATACAGAGACGTCAGGACCGGATGCACGCAGTGAATGGTTCACCTTTATTGTGAAGTATGTGAATTGCGACATCAGTTCTGCGTCTGCGCAAAGGTGTCTCCCAAGTCCACTGTACCACAATCGAGAACGTGTCCATCTCGGTTTAGACGGTCACCTCAATTTAGAACTCGGTTCTCTCTCGCTTTGCTCCCTCGCATTCAACTTAGAAGTTGGAAAGAAAATGCATGCATGCGCGGATCCAGGGGGCAAAAAAAGAAAAAAGGCCCCCACCTCTGCCTTCCCCAAAAAGTTATTAAAAAAAAGACGGCAACCACAAATTCACTGGACAAATTATGCCCTAATTCCAGAAAAAAAACAGATAACACGTTAAAGAAATCTTCTAAGAATCTTCTAAGAAACAAACCATGTTCGTACATTTCGATGGGCTTAGTAAAGGTTGTTTGTTTTTTTTTTGTTTTTTGGGGGGGGGGGGGGGTGGTGTGAAGGGGGGGGGGGGCGATCATTTTAAACAGACTTATTGAAAAAAATAATGTTGTTTTTCTCGTTCATCAAAAGGTACATGCCAGCTGTGCTACTCCTGTTTGACACAAGGCAGCAGCGTTGAAACCTCGCCAGACTTGACCGAGTGTGGTACTGTCAATTGCCATGTTTTTGGAGGATGTGCGAAGCTTCAACTCAGTGCTGTGTCCACAAGCCAACAAGGTAATATTGAAGTTCATGTTTCTCTCTTCCTCTCTCTCCCTCTCTCTCTCCTTCTCCCTCTCCCCTCTCTCTCTCTCTCTCCTTCTCTCTCTCTCTCTCTCTCTCTCTATATATATATTCCGCTCCCCCTCTCTCTCTGTATATCAATTCCACTCCTCCTCTCTCTCCTCTTCCCCTCTTCTCATCTTCCCCCTCTATTCCCCTCCCCTCTCTCTCTCTGTATATAAATTCCACTCCTCCTCTCTCTCCTCTTCCCCTCTTCTCATCTTCCCCCTCTATTCCCCTCCCCTCTCTCTCTCTGTATATAAATTCCACTCCTCCTCTCTCTCCTCTTCCCCTCTTCTCATCTCCCCCCCCCCCTCTATCATCCTCCTCTCTCTCTCTCTCTCTCTCTCTCTCTTCTCTCACCTTCCTCGATCCTTCTCTCTGCCTTTCTTTCCTCTCTTCTCCCAATCTCTCTCTCTTCCTCTTGCTCTTTAACTTCCCTACCCTCTCTTCCCCGTTTATTCGTTTCTCTTCTCTTTATTTCTTTCGTCCGCGCTCTCCCCCCCCCCTCTCTCTCTCTCTCTCTCTTCATCTCCCCGTTCATCTATCAGAAACCAACTTGCTCTCACTCTCAAAATCTCAATGCTGTCTCTTTCTTCTTTTGTCTGTCTCTTTTTCCCTCTCTTTCACAGGTGTAAACGAGACGACCTTCATCACCTACCGGGACTGCGGGACCAACCTCAACCGATGTGGTCCCATCAGCCAAGAAAGTCTCGACCAGCACTCCGCCCTCGCAATAATCATACGAGCGAGGTATACCAACGTCAACTTCGCCAACGGAAGGGCTTGCAACTGCAATAAAGATTTGTGCAACAGCGCCATCTCAAGTCGGATGTCGTCGCAGTATCTTCTTCTCGTTCTTGTAACATTTACATTTGCTGGTTTATATGCGATGGGTTAAGATTTTCTTTAGCCCATATTACCAATCTAAAGTTACAAGAGTAGATATTCGTCACTAGATCGTGTTTAATGGTCGGGAAATGTTGGAATGTGCAAATAGGAAGGCATTACTTCTCTATCAATAATCGTTTTGAAAAATATTAAATTAGTCAGATTCAACACCACTGCTCGATAATTATTTGAGAACGAAGACTTTTTTTGTTTTTTTTGGTTTTGTCGTCTACGAATTTAAGGAAAGTAAACAAAAGTAATTTATACATTTGACAATTTTATAAGTTTCAGCGAACCCTGTGCGTTGATGGAGGGGGGGGGGGTGTTTTTGAATCCATATTCTCTCACAAACTCTTCCCCTCCTGTATTTGCTCTCGGATGCCATAGTTGAATGTTCATACGTGCTTCTTTCGACTCAGATAACTAAAGATATAAAAGTTCATACAAACAGGGGGCACATCCCCCCCCCCCCGACCCCCAAAATATGTTAAAATCAGCCCTAAATTCGCCCAAAATGTACTGAAAAACAGGGGCGTGGCCCCCCGGCCGAAAAAAATTATTAAAAATTTTATTTAAAAAAAAAAAATATGCCAATGGCTGACCTAAAAAGGTGACCTTATACCCACCCCCCCCCCCCCCAACGGAGCAAAATGTCAAATTGTAAACATTTCGTGACCAAAAAAAAAAGAAAAAAAAGTGTCCTCTTAAGATATCATCAGCCCCCAATTGTTTTTGGTGGGGCTTGAATAACATCACGGATCCCCCCGATATTTTTGTGAAGCTTGGATAACATCACGGAGCTCCCCGATATTTCTGAGGGGCTCGGATATCATTGAGCCCCCCCCCCCCCTAATATTTTGGCCGGGCTCGGTTATCATGAGCCCCCCCCCCCCCCAATATTTTGTTCGGGCTCGGATAGGCTATCATTGACCTCGCCCTCCCCAAATATATTTGCACATATTTTGTTCTGGGCTGGAAGCTTCATGCGTTTCTATAATTGGACTTGAAAACTATTGCCCAAAACTTTGTTTCCAGGAACACAAGAAGACAAAACTTCTTTGGCACATTTGTCTGAGGCTGCATGTGAAAGTAGCTCCTCAAAAGAAGAAAACTCTTACATTTTTCGCCGCGATAACATAGACGAGGAACAAAGAATGTATTTCCAGGTGCAAATTAAAGACAAAGGAGGATCTCAGAATTATATTTTTTAGGTGGTGCCACATTTCAGTTTTTAAATATGTCCGATTATAGGGATGTGTACAATAAAAGTTTTGTTTTTCACGTTCCTGGCGTATTTTTTTCTTTCTCCAAAGGTGTTAAATGTGTAATATTGTAACACCTAGTACTTTGTCTAACTTAATAAAAATATACTGAATATCTTACAATTCAACGATTTCTTCAAGTAGGCCTACTTTTATTAATTTCTTCAACTGCTTAAAAGAAAGGCAAATGCTTTTTTATTGTAGAGCTGTAGTGTAAACAGACTACTCGGTAATTCTCATTTATAGATTGGTGCACATCATTATGCTTGTTCATTCTCTCCTATCTGTTTGTTTTCTTTCCTCTGTTCGTCATCCTTTATTCGCTACCTATGATATTTGAATATTCACTATATCCTTTTATTATATATAAATGAACATGTAGATACCTATATATGCAAAATAAACCCCTGAGGTTTAAAGTTATAAAGCCCATGGCAGTTCAACACAGGCAATCATGGAGTATGGGTGTCTTCATCGAAGTGTCTCTGTAAGCAGGGGCTTTTTCAAAGGGGGGGGGGGGTGCGACACCCCCATCTGTCAGGATATTGTCGGTAAAATTGCGCAGACGTCGGGAAAAAGGGAAAAGGGAGAGGGGAAAAAGAGAGGGAAGGGCAAGAAAAGAAAGGAAAGAAAGGAAAAGTAAAGAAAGAAAGGAAAAGAAAGGAAAGAAAGGAAAAGAAAGGAAAGACAAGAGAAGAAAGAAAGAGAAAAAAAAGAAAAAGAGGGAGAAGAGAAGAGAAAGGAAAAGAAATAAAAGAAATAAAAGGAAATATAAGACAAAAGAGAAAAGGGAAACAAAGGAAACGGGGGATGAAAAAGAGGAGAGAGAGAGGGGGAGGTAAGAGCCTGAGAGAGGAGGAGTGGGAGTAAAAGAGAGAGAGGGGGGTGTTGGGTAAAGTCGTCTCGTCAAGGGAGCAAGAAAGACACGCATACATGTAAATATGTTGCTGTCTCGGGTCAGCTGTGTCGGTATTCTTGCTCGATCATCGTGTACTATATCAATGCAGAAGTTTGAAGTCGGTGAGATGTATAATGTCGGTCGGCCGACAAGTTTTTTTTCCCCTGCGAATTGTGACTTTTTATCCGCTGTGACGACTTCAAGAGTGACTACAACTACAATACTTGTATTTTCTCGAATTTTCACTTTCCTATAATATCAGCTAAAAAAAATCAGAGGTTTAATATTTTCGGGAAAACTAAATTCAAACAAGGATTAAGAGTCAACAACAGTACAAGGAATCGTCTTCCTTTCTCTAATATTTTTATTAAACGCCAAAGCTTCCGCGCTTCGCGCGGGAGGGTGAAACTTCATTTAGACAAGGATTAAGAGATGAGAACGGTACAACGAATCGTTTTCATCTCTAATAATTTAAGGAAACGTCTAAGTTTCCGCGTTTTGCGCAGGAGGGGGAACAACTAAATTCAGATAAGGATTAAGAGTCGAGAACAGTATAACAAATCGTCTGCTTTCTCTCATAATTTAAGGAAACGCCTAAGCTTCCGCGCTTCGCGCGGAAGGGGGGTGGGAACTGAATTTAGACAATTATGGTAAAGAGTCGCGAACGGTACAACGAGTCGTCTTCTTTCTATAATATTTCAATGAAACGTCAAAACTTCCGCACTTCGCGCGAAAAGGGGTAATCTAAATTCAGACAAGGATTAAGAGTTGAGAACCATTCAACGAATCGTCTTCTTCCTCTAATAATTTAAGGAAACGCCAAAGCTTTCGCGCTTCGCGCGGGAGGGGGAAACTTCATTTAGACAAGGATTAAGAGTTGAGAACCATTCAACGAATCGTTTTCTTACTCTAATAATTTAAGAAAGCGTCTAAGCTTTCGCGCTTCGCGCGGGAGGAGGGGGGGGGGGGAGAGAAACTGAATTCAGACAAGGATTAAGAGTCGAGAACAGTAGAACGAATCGTCCGCTTTCTCTAATATTCTAAGGAAACGTCTAAGCTTCCGCGCTTCGGACGGAATGGGGAAACTGAATTCAGATAAGGATTAAGAGTCGAGAACGGTACAACAAATCGTCTTCTTTTCCTAATAAGGCCTTTTACCCCCCCCCCCCTTAAGTGATTCGCTTGCTCACTACCGCCCCTCCCTAAAATAAGGTCCTAGCTACGCGCCTGCATTATAGCTATGATGATAAGTAATTGATACCTAAATTACTTGTGACTTGATGATGCATAAAACCCTGATATCTGATAACAGAGGATGTAAAGCGAAACCGAAACATCCATAAAAAGCTTATTAAGCATCGTCAAGTGAGCAATGAATTACAATGAATTTTGTTATGAATGTGGAGAGAAAATATATAAGGGATTCGTTGTTGTTCTGGTTGTATTCATCAGCTGTAACTAAAACACACTACAAAAAGAAAAAAGGGGTAAAATCAAACGCAGTTCATTTTCATCAAATGATTATTTGTGGTATTTTTTCTTCCCCCTTTTTTTTTAAACAAAAGAAACTCCTGAAACACACCAGCTTTGCCTTAAAGAGCAATTTCTTCCTTGCTTGTGTCATCGCATTACCTACAGAAAATTCACAAAGATATCCTTTTTATGTTACATGTAATTCACAGAAATAACCATCTTCTCTTTAAATCTTCAGCTACTCGGTTTACCTTTCCAAAATCAAATGAAGCCCTTGCCCCCTGTTTTGAAATGATGTATACATTGTAAATATGCACAGAATTTTAAATTGATACTACAAAGCATAGAATTATTGATTTCAGAATTCCTCGTACAATGTGCATGTATATAAAAAGAGCTCTTTTCTAACTTGATTTCTTCTACTCAAACCATTCTTTACATTCAATACCATACAGTCTATTTTAAAGGGACTATGTCCCATTTGCAGAAAAAAATTTGCAAAAAGTTAAATTCCAACTGCATTTGAAAGATAATACTAATTTAGAACTTCCCTAAAAAAGGTGGGGCTTGAAAATGTCTTCAAGTGGGAAAATAACGACTATTAGTTGTCAAATCGACTTTAGGGCTATAGAGCCCAAAAGTAATAGTCTTGATTTTCAGACAATTGTACCGAATGGTCATACGTTTTATGCTGCGCAAAGATTCAATCAGTTTAATCTTGGCCATCACAAGAAGTGGGTTATTGATGTAGACAAATGCTCATGTACCCTTTACAACTCTTTTCATGTATGTTATTACCAAAGAAGAAAAAAGCCAGTCAGTCACTCAATAGTGTCTGACAGTGAAGTCTAGCAAGTAAACGGTTTTCCTTGCATAATTTGAATATGAGGACACTGCTAACGTTTAAATTTCACAGATAGGACATACATGACATATTCATAATTCCCGCAAAGTTCTACAGCATTTGAGGTTGGCTGCAAAAGGGACATAGTACCTTTAAGTGATGAATAACAAGCCAAAGGAAAATTACAATATAACCCGTGTACAATAATTAATTAATTTCTTCTGACATGATTATATATATATAAATATCATTTCTATTACCTAATGTATTACACTTGTATTTGCCCTCCTCTCTATCATAGTTTTACAATTTCGGGAATTGAAAACTAATACCTAGATGAAGTCATCTGTTATCCTCTTCTTCGGATTTAATATAGTATTTGATTAATCGCCTTCTTTTCTTTTATTGGGATTTGCAAACTTTAGCAAGTTAAATTTAAAGTCCTAATGAACTGAATTGTTCGTGCTTTAAAAAAAAAAATCTAAATAGGATCAATGTTTACAAACACATATTATTTCTCTTGTTTTCTCTTTCCCTTTCATCAAAACTTTACAAAGTCTAGAAAAAAAACCCTGAAACCCTGAACTCAATTATATTTTTGACCTTAAAGCTTATCTGCCATAGTTTACAGGAGGGATTAGAGCGCTCTGCAAGGTCACTGGACAGGTGGTTATCTCATCAACTCAGCTCTCAGTT